TTTGCTTATAGCCCGACATTTCATTGTTGTGCCTTTTGTCTCTGTGTGTGTTTCTCTCTCCCACTCTACCTCCCTGATTATTGCAATCTCATGTTGTTATATCTAAGAGATGTTTAGGGTAGTGCCATGTGGGGTGGTATGTGTGTGTGTGTGTGTGTATTTTGTAGCTCATTTGTGTGTGCTTGACCGGAAGTTGTAACTGTGCACAGGATACGTTGAATGCCGCCCGATTTCACACGAGGATAGTCATGTCGTGTCGTTAGATAGCCATTGGCAAGGTGCTAACATTACATTAGTACAGGGTTGTTTTTTAATGGCTTTTGCTTTTAATGGGCTTTTATTTTACGGAAAAACCTTTTGGTGGAGGGTGTTCATGTAAATGTTCACAAATTGATGGAAAAACTTGTGGTTTGTTGGTAGAAATAATGAATGGGCATTGCATGAGGAAAGGAGATATGTATCCTATCTATAAAGTGACAAAAATTCAATGCCTCCGAAACTGTAGTCAGATTCAGTCAGTGGGTTGTGTTCCTTTCCCCAATTCTCATCAGGTATTCTGTATAATAAAATATGTTTCGTTATACGAACTTCAATTTATTTTTATCTCCGATAAAGATCAATTTTAACAACAACAATAAAGAAAATATTGATTCTTTTTTGTATACAAACTTTTCACACAATTGAAAAGATCTCTTCGCACTGCGAGAATGTCAGAAAGTTTTGTTACCTTATTATGAGTATTATTATTATTATATTTTTGTTACGTTGCGATTTTGTTTCTTTTTTTTTTTTTGATTACGGATTGGTTGGGTTTACTTTATACGTTTTCGGGGTGTATAATAAACATCAATATGGAGGCCAAAAGGCATCTGGTTCTGCCAATAAATGGAAAGCCCTGTGCCAAAAGGCAGTGGAAAGGGCCACAAACAGAGCAGCGAACACAAAGCCCGAGCTGACAAAAGTTTTGCGCAAAAATCATAAAGTGCAGCGTAAAACTTTGTGCCTCCCAGAAACCAAAAATAAGGCGACTCTCGACTTTCGACACTCGCAAAGTCGTAAACCAGTGGCAGGGTGGGGTGGGGGTTGCATGGAAAATTTCTGTGGACTGGGAACAAGAAATCGACTAACATCAATTCGAAAATGGCGTAAAAGTGGCAGCGATTTGTTCATTGTTGGTTCTCTTGCTGGTATCTGAGTATCCCAGCATGCCCAGCATCGACTCTTTTGGGATGCATTTGGCCAGTTTTTGCCCACTTTGCATTTTATCTTTATTTGCATTGCGGCTAACCAATGACAGGCTATTCTTGTGGCCGGACATGTCGAGTACTTTTTTGTTTTGAAGAAAACTTTCTTTTTGCCTCTATGTGGCCTTTGGACCCCTGCCAGGCAGACCCCTGCCAGGCAGACCCCTGCCAGGCAGGACCACCCCAAGAGCGGACACTTGCAGTAAGTGTCAAAGATGCTGTTTGGTGTCCCAAACAAAATGTTTGCTATAAATTAAAGTTGCGGTTGCGGAGACACAAATTTGTTCGGTTGCCCAAAACTTTCGGATGGGTTACATATTGGCAAACAGATTTACCAAAGAGATTTCTTGCTCTTTGTGATTGGAGAAATGCGCAAAAATCTATGCAGATGTGGTTAGGCATGGTGAATATTGTGAGCTGTTCCTAAATAGAATTAGAATAGAATTGGAGAATTCACGTAATTAAAACTGCTAGAATATGCTGGTTCAATCGCCATTTAATCGCCATTCAATCGCCTTCTCTTCATTGCTTCTTTCGATACAGAACCAATACAGATGACACTCACCCACTCTCTGGTATTTTGTTTTGCTTAGACAATTATTTTATTGGCATTCAATTTGTGGATTTTCATAAATTGTTATCTCATTAAATTGGGTTTTAATTGGTTTGGTTGTGGCCGTGCCATAACAATCGTTTTGCTGTTGTTATTTCATAATTATTGGGGGACTATTTAAAGTGAAAGATTAATGAGGCTGGATTTCTGCGGTGGCTTAATACTGTTGTTCGCGATTATTTATGGCCGCAGCGCAGTGTGGAGTTAAATAATGTAATAATTAAGCAACTATTCAATTGAAATTTTAAATATATTTCACTTGTAACACTTTGTGGAGTGCTGGAAGTAAAATCCACACTCTAAGGGATAATAAATCATGAAGAACCGAAACATAAATACAGCCTAACGGCTACGCCCCACAAACTGCGATGCCAAATGGAGTTTGCACAACTTTAAGAATGTCCCAGACGCAGAGTTCTACGTAACCCATGGACGACAGGCAATAACAATTTATATGGCCAAGGGTAACATTGTCAGCATGGCCAGGACACGTCCTGCCAGCAGCCAGTAGTCAGTAGCCAGCAGCCCCCTTAGATATTGGTGGATGGGTGGGAGTATCATTCAAAAAGGTGCGACAACCTTCGGTGAAGACAAGAGAGCATTTAGAAATTAATGATAATTGACACAATAAGCGACAAGTTGAGCTCCAAGTCACAGGGGGGGTGCGGTATTGGGTATGAGTTGGAAAGGGAGTCGCTTCCTGGACTCTGGACTCTAGCCCTAAGGGATAATAGTCAATGACATTAGAAGCCAATAAATAAAAGCGAATGAAAACAAACAGCAAGCAGCAAAGGAAAACGTGCAGACAGCTACCTCAAAGACAACACAGATACGTATACGCAACACAGATACGTATACGCAACACAGCTACAGTTACAGAGGACAGAGACAGAATACGCAAGATAAATACGAAGGGACGAAGCACCCATTGGATGCCCTCTTAGACTTAGCACCAAACGATTCCATGATAGCTAAATCATATAATTACATGCATTTTTATTCAACCATTTGATTGGATTATTTACACAAAAATAAAGAAACTAAGAATTAACTTAGAAAATTATTTTAAAAGCAGAAAGCTGCTAGAAAGATAATAGCAAAATGCCTCTACCCTTTCAAAGAGTGTTTAGAGCAAAACAACAACAGTAGGATCCTTGGAAAGATACGAGTTTAGTCAAAGAAAACTGAGGCAGAGTCGTTTCTCTCAAGGCGTCAAACGCATTTAACGCTTAATTACATTGAGGGCCAAACGGCAATCGTGTGGGTAGAACGGTACATTAATTTTCACTTCCTAATTAGGCGGAAAATTTCCGAGCAGCGCCCCACTCGATTTACCCATTTTCCCATTTCCGCTTTGGCAATCAAAGCCGCTTGATAGAGGAACTATAAAATTCCAAGACTCTCACGTATGGGCCACGCTTTGACATTTATGGAAATAATTAAAACTGATTTGGCGCTCCCATTATTCGTGGCTCTGTGTGTGCTGATTGCTTCTCCCACTCTCTACCCACTCTTTTCCTTTTCCACTCAATTAGGAGGACGCGTTCGTTCATCATGCACGACTTTGTTATTCAATTATCCATTGCCAATAAGTGAGTGGCACATAAAATGTGAGGCGAACAGCGAACGTGACTTGAGGATGCGATTAATTTCTGTTTAAGAGAGACATTTACTCTCGCTCTCTGTCTCTCTGCAATGGAGGAGCTTCTTCAGAACTTGATTATAATCAGTAATAGATATAACCAATCCCAAGTATGGGAGATCTTAGATGCTGCTTTTTATTTTCTAATCTTTCAAGCCGTTGCCTTGCCATCGAAAGCACTGCAGCCCCTTGGTGCAGAACCCGCGTCCGACATTGGAGCCATCTCTGGTGATTTGTGGGCCAGTAGCTGAAAGGAAACATCAACTTTTCAGTGCGGCAGTCAGCCCTTTGCAGCTGCTGCATTGTTTTTAGCAGCTTATGTGCTCAGGCTCATATTTTGCATGCCCCAGAGGAGAGAGGCACGAAGAGAATGTGTGGCTGGCTGGCTGGCTTGCTGGCTGCTTTGCTTCGATTCGTTACAATTGGCCAATATTCTGGCTTTGTGCTGGTGAACAATGCGGCGCTTGGCTGAAGTTTTGGCAGGAGAGATTTCTGATTTTAGCGTGCCAAAGCAGAAGCAGTCAAAGGGAAGGAAGGACCACCAATACCCATATTCCCTCACGGATAACTCTCTATTTCTCTTTGCCTTTTACTTTTTCCTTTCTGCTTCTGCACTGTGTGTCTGTGCCTGTGTGTGTGTTTCTCTATGGGTGTGTACTGGGGCGCACAAGACCGGAAATGAAAGTTCTGCCAATTGAATTATGGATATAAAATTGCGCTTGACTTTCGCCGCTCAGCCAGGTCCAAGGAGGATGGGTCTTCAATTTGTGTTCTTTTGATTGTTTTGCGCTTGATTGCCCCTCAGAGAGCTGCAGATGGAGAGCAGAGAGTGGACCACTCTAGTCCACAAAGAAAGTTCAAGTACTGATCTCTGCCTAGACCTAAATGTCAACATTATGCCATCGAAATTCCACAATTATTCACATTGCCCCCCAAAAGACTGTAAGCATACAAATTTGTTGTAATATTCAGTATGCCCTCTGGCTCAAGCAAAAAACCGCGTTTGAAGCGCACTGCTGCAGGCCCATCGTTTAAGCTGCCGAGCATCAGTGGAATGAGTAGCTTCGCCTTTACATACAGCCCGCAAAAGAAGAAATTGGGTGTGCTAAGTTTTGGCCATATTATGACAGCGGTGAGTTCTATAGGGGCGGGCTCCGAAGCACACAAGAAACAGCAGCCATATCCGTATGCCTGTCTGTTTCTGTACTCTCTGTTGCGACAGGACTAGACAACAGATCGAACAATTATATCATATATGTAGCTGCCATTTGCACTGTAGTTTTACATTAATTCTGCATCGACTTTTCTTTTTATCTCCTATACTTTAGCTATGTATATAGCAGCCAATCTGTGCGTAGCTGGCCTTCGAGTGATCGTCACATTCTTCTCAGTACACAGTACATCCTCAGGCACGTAGGCAGCGCAGCGTTAGGAATAAGCTACAAAGAGCAGGGCAAATCCCGTACATTGATTGTTCTCTCAGCTACATGTGTGGGCTGTTCTAAGACCCGCGTTTTATACAAAAATTTCAAACACAAATCACATTATTCTTAATCGCTATCTTCGGAGGAAATCTCCTGAGTTTTCTCCTCTCCCTGATTGTGCTCTTCTGCCGCTGCAGTCTCATCATCGCTATCGCCAGATTCCATGGGTTTCGCTTTGAGGCGGGCCATCAGTTCTTTGGCCGGATTGAAAATGCCATTTGTCTGCTGCGAACAAATTATGCAGCGTTGCGACTTTTTGTACTGTGCCAGGGCGCACTTTTCACAGAAATAATGTTTGCATCTGCACAAAAAAAGAAATATAAATATCAATAACCGCCAGATATAAATTATGGAATTCCCTCACTTGGTCACCACAGGATTGACAAAGGTCTGGCGACATATGTGGCACTTGAAGGGCAGCGATTCCTCGTCCGAGTGGATCTCGTACTTGCCATCGTCCCCATCCGATTCACAGTCGCCGCGACGTTGCGCCTCGTGATCGGCTTCCAGCTGCCAGCCGGCCTTGTAGTCGCTGCGATCGTGCAGGAACTTGCAGCTGTCACCAAAGCCACAGTAGCCCGTCTCCTTGTAGTCCTTGCAGATATCCGGCTGGTAGTCCCAGCGCACGGTGGCTCTGAGGTGAGCCGGCGCCCGAATGGGTCCGCTGCGCACCATTCCAGAGCTGGCATTACCCGCCGCCGTATCCTGCTTTTTGTAATACTGGGCATAGTTGTTGATGCCACGGTAGATCTTGTCGTCGGCCTTGCCCTCCAGCTCCTCGTTGATCTTCAGCGCCCGGGCATGTATTGCCTGAGCATCGCGATCCAGTTCCGTGTCCATTTCGTTGACTGAAGTGGCACCCTGATCCTGGGGACCACTGGGCAGCGCCTCACGTTTCGATTTGTATGCCACGCCCAGTCCATCATCTTCGGATTTGCCATCGCTGGATGTGGCCTCCTCCGTGACACCCGCCTGTCGCTTGGCCTTGCTCACCGTCTTGGTGCTTTGAAAGTTGGGATTTGTTCGTTTGCGGCGGTTCTCGGCCCGCACAAGAGCACTGGCCTTGTTCTGGGTCTCCTCATCGCTGCTTTTGGCTGTTTTTTATAAGATTATTGCAGTGTTTTTGTTGTTTGGCGGTAAACCGGCACGTACCTGAATCATTGCTGCTGCTGCTCTCCTTCTTGCGGCGCATGGCAGCTCCTCTGTTAATGTTCCGCTTCTTGAAGCCAAAGGCTGAGGTGCTTGACTGTTCCTCGGACATCTCTTAATTTTTTTTTTATTAAAAAATGAGTTGTTTTCTTAAAAAATGCAAATTTGGAGGCAAAGTCGCAGAGTGATAACGATAAAAAAGGCGAAAAAATAAATATCAAACGAGACTTAACCCACTTAGCACCCCTCTGTTTAAAAAGTTGAGCATCCTTTGTTAAACTGCGGAAAATAATACTGTTTGTAAGGGCTCCTTGTAGCTCCATCCTCGTCTTTACTTACAAAACAAAAATTACCACCGACATCTTTCACCTGTAATGCGTAAAATATTTTAAAGTTACATACATTTTGTGAAAATATTAAATACCACCCTGGGCGACAATGGGATAATGAACGAATAAAGTGACCAGTCGCAAAATACCATTACATACCAGGAAGTTGTTCAAAAATACCAGTATACCATGATAAAATTAAATACTATTTGCTCAATTTTGGCATCAACAAGTACCATATTACTGCTTTTATCGACAAAATTTCAACGAGAATTTTGAAAACCATCACGATTTGAGATAACATTGCTAGTGTTGTGTAACAAGAAAGTTAATGTTACAGATGTTACAAATGTTACATACAGATATCCACGTTAGTTTCGCTGTTGATAATTACATGAACATGTAGTTAATATGTATCAAATGTGTAGTTAACATGTAAAAGTTGTTTGTCTTTTTGTTTAAACTATTTTTTATTAGCATTGCAATTAATAAGAGCCCTTAAATCTTGTAGAAAATCGGAAAAAAATAAAATTACGGTTTAATAAAAGTTTTAAATAAAGTTTTTTAATTGTGGATTAAGTGGGCTCATGTGAACTTCCACTGAACAGCAAAAAAACTGGTTCGTTCACGAACACTAGTTTATTTTTGGAAAAACAACAACACGTAAATTTAATCTTTAATATTTCTTGAATTAAGGCAATTAAACATACTTAATCCCCTTTATTACTTGCAGAACATGGTGCTCGAACTTATTTCCAGTGTAAAATGCTTCGAGGGCGAGCAGCGCGTGTACCAGCACAACTCCAGGACGCTGAACTGCGACATGACCTTTGGCGTGTTTCTGCCGGCTGCTGCCCTTGATAAGACGCCCTGCCCGGTGTTGTTTTTCCTCAGCGGTCTCACCTGCACGCACGAGAACTTTATACAGAAGAGCGGCTTTCAGCAGCACGCCGCCCAGCACGGAATCATCGTGGTCAATCCGGACACCTCGCCCCGTGGCCTCGAGCTGCCCGGACAGGATGATGCGTACGATTTCGGGAGCGGTGCCGGCTTCTATGTGGATGCCAAACAGGAGCCCTGGTCGAAGCACTACAAGATGTACAGCTATGTTACCGAGGAACTGGTCGAAGTGGTCAATGCCAATCTGCCAGTGGCGGCCGGAAGGCGTGGCATCTTTGGCCACAGCATGGGCGGACACGGAGCCTTGATCTGTGCCCTGAAGAATCCCGGCCTCTACAAATCGGTGTCAGCATTTGCACCCATTGCCAATCCCTCGGAGGGTGCATGGGGCAAAAAGGCTCTCACCGGCTACATTGGCGCCGACACGTCCGACTGGGACCAGTGGGATGCCACCCGACTGGTCTCCCAGTACGAGAGCACGCCCCAGGAGCTGTTCATCGATCAGGGACTGGCGGATAACTTCCTTGCTGCCAAGCAGCTGCTGCCGGAGAATCTACTGGCGGCCGCCGACTCCAACGAGCATATCCAGACCATCTACAAGCAGCGCGAAGGCTACGATCATGGCTATTTCTATATATCCACATTTGTGGGCGAGCACATTGCCTACCATGCCAATCTGTTGAAGGCGACCAAAGTTTAAGCATTAAATTCTGTGAACATACCACCAAACATCAAACGAACTGAATCGAATCTCTGCCATGGAGCACAGCATTTTGGCTCCGCACGAAGCCCAGCCCAGCCACTCGTTTTGTGGGGTGGTGGTGGTAAAAGCTCGCGGCGTAGTAAAAGCTCTCCAACTGTTCGCTCGTATCTTTCACAGACAAATGCAAAGTGGTTTTGGCATCCTTCGTCTGATTCGGCTTGGCTTCATGTTCATTCATCACAAGCCACACAGGCTGGGGGCCACAGTTAGTACAACAAATACCGTCGGCCAGAGCAGACGCTGCGCCACAAAACACGCAACGAACGCAACGACAGATTCATCCGGGTGGACGACATCGTATCTCCGTTTGGCGCCATATTTACTTAGACCAGTCCTGAGTCCCTTACGCTGTGCGTGTGGCCCGTTCGTGTGCGTGTTTGTTTGTGTAATTTCGCGCGCTTTTGTGTCGCCTGGCGGGCTGCTGCTGTGCGAGTGTGCGTGCGGGGGTCAGAAAAGTACTGAAATTGAAACTGGAACCCCGGAGCCGAGACCCGACCCAACACACCCCCCAAAAAAAGGATATTTGAAAGGCATGAGATTTGCGGCCAACTGCTGGACAACTGCCAGTCAACCGAGATAGATCTTAATTAGTAATTTAATGGCAGTTGGCAGACAACAATAGCTGTGGTAACTGGCTGCCGGGGTAAGCGCTCAGCCATATGGCCAATATAAATCAATTACAGACTTGCTTTGGTGGGTTCTGCACACCATTCAGGTGTGGTTTGCCCTCTGCCCGACGCCATTCTATACCTATAAGGGACTTTGCAGGGAGTGGGAGAGTGGCTGGGTGTGGGATGGTCGTCGTCTAGGGAGGCTACGTTGTTTATGGCCACCGTTTTACTGCATGCTGAAATTTTTATACTTCCATCAGCACTTCATTTTTCACAGTTCAGAGTCAAGTTCACGCATCACCTACCAACCAACCAACCAACCAACCAACCAGCCAACCCGATAACAATCCATCAACCTCCGTTTGGCGTTGCGTCAGGACCTGGCCAATATGGTTTTGCTCCCCAAAAAAAAATATACGTTTAATTTTAAAGCATTTAAGCCGTGTTTTTAGCACCCTTAATTTGCATATTATGATTTAGGTATGAATGAGCCATTTCTATTATGAAATGGGACTTGGAAAAGTGCCCGTGGGGAAGCTGCTGTCTGTTCTGTGTTCTAGGAATTGTTGTTACAGTTTTTATTAATGGTCTTTTATTACACTTTTAATTTTACGCATTCTTCTTTAAGCGGTTTTGGGATGTGCGTTTCTATTGAAGATTCTTCTTACCCAAAGCTCAAATTATATTTAGAATCAGCAACTTTATGGGAACGGATGCCATGGCAGCAGACAGTATGGCTACAAGTTCTGTAGCTCTGATGATATGAATCAGCTATGAACTAATGATATTGCAGCAGCTATTGACGTCAATCACTTGGTTCTGAGTCAGTTTGTTCTATAAATCGTTGGTAAATAAGTAGAATGCCATATGAAATACCATAAATCAGATATTTGGGCTGTATGGAGCTAAAAAAAAGTCTACGAAATATCAAATATTCAACGAATCTAGGCTCAAAACCTTGATTCAAACAATGTCTCATTCAGCGTGACAATTCTTCAATTTCTACACGAAAATATCTGACACATTTCTGGTAAACTTTCCAAATCCCTTTCGCTACTAGCTGTAAACCCTTTGAGCCTTGTGAACCACTTAACCAAGAGTAAGTAAATTAATTATAATTTTCTGCGTACCCGTGGCCTAACTTTTCGGGCCTTTGCTTTTCCTAAGGCTTAGCGCAATATGATTCCAATGCTGTCAGTTATGACGATGAAGTCTGGCTTTATTTACAAACTAGACGCTTCGAAGTATGTCCATATATTGAGCATCAATTTGGAAAAGGGCTTCGATGCCGAATTGCAACTTCACTCCCATGGCAGTAAACGTGTGTTGGCCAAACTCGATACCAAACACCTCCAAAAATCCATTGACATGTTTGTGTATGTGCACGATTCCATTGCCCTGAAAAGTGAAACAAATGCCACCGTGGATGTGTTGGGCTATATCGAGGGTTTCTACTACGGAGTGCCCGGAAAAGAGTTCAAACCTCTGGAGACTGTTTTTCATGAAATGAAAATACCAACTCATGTTAACACATAAAAAAAACTACTATGCATGTATTATACATATGTATGTGGAACAAAATCTGTACAAAAATATAAATCAAATTAATCTGGAAATATGCCACAATTGACATTTAAACCTGGTAACCCTGGTGCTGGTTTTGCAGAAGCGCAAACCAAATGAAGAAAATATTTAGATCACAGAATAGTTCCAGTTCCACATACATATCAATCATATCTGTATTTGCATCCGAAGCTTCACTCTGTTCACTGTTTTCGTATGCAATTAAATTGATTTGCGTATAAAACACAATAATGCCTTAAGCACAATTGAATCAACCTTGTTTTCCATTTTCAAATTTGCATTATAAAGCAATATTTCACCCTCCTCCCCACCCCACCACACATATTTTCCTGTTTTGTTGCTACAAAATACGCTTTTAATTATGAAATTTCTAGCTGAATCTCTTATTAGCATCTATCCGTGCATTTGCCATTGCTGTGGCAGCTACAAAAAAAAAAGTAGCAAAAAGGAGATGTGGAAAAGTTTCCATTTAAAGTAGAACACGTCGCGCAATATTTAATGGAACCGACTTGAGCTATATTTCCATTTATCTACTCGTGGTGCTGTGGCACTCGAACGAGTTTATATTTTTTCAATTTTGTTCACTGAAAGCTTAAGGGAAATCCGGTTAAGACTGTTGTGCGTCGATTCTCATTCAACGAAGAGCAACACGAATCCTTAAAGCACAGAAATATCTGACTGGATTTGTGCTTTACACTTGGACAATTAAAAAATAAGATTGATTGAAGGTTTCCCCTGTCTAGTTATAGGGCTTACCGGCACTCAAAGCAAGAGGTAAATAAATGTATTTGCCTTGCAGTTTATGGTGGAAAAACTAATTTGGTTAAGCTATTGATATTACATTAAAGGAATGGCAAATGGATCAATAAAAGAAAATTAGGGAAAAATGAGCAAAAAATGGCAAAGAGGTTAAAGCATTCATCATTGGCTGTTTATTTGGGCAACTATTTCAAGTTTCGCAAGAATAATAAAACAAATATATATGTATATAGATGACGTTGGACGTGAGGACGTGACCCAAGAAATATTCGAAATAAGTTTTATTTTTAAGTCTTTGCAGCTAGAAGTTTGATTGCTGTTGTTCGAAAGCAAATCAATCAATCAAAGAAAAACGAGGAGATATGTAAAAGTTTCTCTAAAATGTAACCACAGTCTGCACCCACAATAACTGAATATTTTATGTTCTAAATGGTTGGAGAAAATCAACCCAAAAACTGTTGCCATAATTTAATTATTCAAACGCGTTTGATATTGTATACAAAATGTAACACTGTGTGCCATATATGTATGCCCTACTAGCCCTCCCAAAGGAATCAATTTCAATTTATTTACTTGTTTCCTCTGCAAATAAGTAACCCTTAAAAATACACGCGTGAAAGTTTTTCTGGGGACGCCACTGAACTCTCTCTCTCTCTGTAAAAATAAAAGCATACATTTAAAAACAAAGCATCCATTAGCACATCAATTAAGCAACCTTATGTACATATTCCACCTGGATATATATATTTATGTACGAGGGCATATACACACGAGGGTATTGCACAGTTACACGTACTTTTCTCCATATAAAGTACTTGAATTCACACGCACAAAAAAACTGAAGAACGAATCGGTTTGGCATTTCCCATTTTGCATTTTGCATTCCCATCGAGTGCTGCTCTGAGCCTGACTGACAATTAGGCCAATCATGAGGAATCACTTGCCCTGACAAACACCAGAGCGACGTATGCACATACGTATGTACAAATTGATGTATTGTTTTTTGCATGCTGATTGAAGAACGGGTAGGGTCGATGGACAGGAACCTTGGGTCGAAGGCACGCAAATTCAACGTAAAATGTACGCCATCCAAATAATTTAGACAATGGCACTCGTGCGCACACGCCATGCCCAGGAAACGGGATGTGGCATACACCACACCACACACACAGACAAAGCACACACTCTCATTCAAACACACACATTAACACTCCAACTCAACACAGACACAGAGACAAGGAGAAAGTGAGGCCAAAAACAGACAATACGCAGGGGGCGACAATTTTAGTGCTATTTTCGGGCATCACTTGGCTTTACAGCCAGGCCACACACGCGGCACGGAACGGAACGGGACGGGACGAAAAGGCGCGGAACCTATGGGGACCCCTGATATGGATGCCATCACTCGAGCTTCCTCTTGCTCATCCGCACGGACTGGTCCCTCCTGCCCTTCTTTGTGGCTCTGGCACTGAGCGAAAAAAAACTATATTTAGGGAGCAATTTTTGGAACTAGTTGAAGGTCTTTTGGCTGCCTTGAAAGATATCATTGAAAATGCCTGCTCAAAGGTTGGCTGCAGAGTGGGCCAGGGCTTAGAGTTGCTTGGATTATTTATTGATAATAGATAATAGATCTGTGCCTAACGTTTTTCTTAGTGCATTCTATCTTGTGTATCTGCTGTCCGAACATATGTTCTCACTTAGTCTGGGACGCGTCCTTGCTCCCCAGCAGCTTTAGCTGTACCTACGTACCTCGTGCACTCCACTACAGGCGACAGCAGCACAATGGAAAAACAAACAGAAAAGCGAGGAAAACTTTTATTATTTTGTATGGGTTTGTTGTGGGTTCTCCGCAGCAGGGCAGGGAAGCAGCAAAAATAAAGAAAAAGGCGGAATTGCTCTTTGAAGGTGTAATTGAGTTTGAGCTGAAAGTACGTGCAAGAAATCACTAAAACTTTGGATGATGTGATCCACTAGAAACTTTGAGTTCATAATCGCGTGGGTTGCCCCGTGCCCCGAACGCCTTCCTGAATGGTTATATGCAAAATGGATCCTGCATGTATGCACTTTAATTTGAATAACTTTATGCACACATAACATATTGTTTATGCCATGTGTGGAGTGGAGGAGGGGATACATGCATGCCGTAACCTGTGCGTGGAAGCTAATAAATGGTATCGAAAGCTAAGCCAATTGCCAGCCCCACACAGCAAAAGTTTCTGATGCACAAAGTTTTTTTTCGCTCACGAATCCCTACATAGATTGTTGCCTGAGTGACTGATGTGTGATAGGGGGCATCGATGTTGAATTTTGTGGCAGTTCCTACGTGCTCTTAGTTGTTCAGCTATTAGGCAACAAGGCCACTAAAGTTGTGGCAGCTGATTGATGTGGCTAATATATAGAGTAAGTTTGTTAAGCTTCGTATTCGTATTATTTGCTTATCTTAAGAATTAATTTGATTTTTAATGAAATTTACTTGAAAACTGCTTCACAAAGAGCAATAAAAATCAATTTCAATTCAATTTATATTCATAGAAAAGCAACCTAATCCCACTTAATTCCACTGCAAAACATTTCCAGGTTGTTGGTGGGGCGGGGGGAGAACCTCGAACACCATTAAAACAAAGCTCAGATTTCTGTTCAAATTTATCGTCTGCAAATTGCGTTCTTCTCATTTACGGAAAGCAAATACCAAAGCTCATTAAACGCATTCCATGCCCTTGCTAAGAGGCTCTCTCTCTCTCGCTGCTACAGAAAATGGAGCAAGCCAACTGGAGAAATGCATCAGGCATCAGGCGGCGCACCTCTGACCCAGCTTTTGCCGGTTGAAGAAATTGGCAATGCAATTCCCAAATTGCTTTCACTAAGCCTTGGCAGTGTCTAGTGCCCAGCGGGTGTGTAGGGCAACAATTTATTTATGCCACGAGGCCAAAGTTACGCCTTCACACACACACACACACACAGAGATAGAGGTGTACTATCCTCGCATGTACCCACACCTTTTCCCCACTAAAGCTTCTTACACTAATTGCACTAATTGAACACAATTTATTGTTGCCAAGATACCTACGTGAAGGAGTGCAGGAGGGAGCCATGAAGCAACAAATAACCCAATAGCGGCTCCATCTTCCACTGCCACACACACTCCTTGCTGTCGCTGTAGCTGTTGCTGCTGGTGACATGCTCCAAGTGGCAGCCATTTGGTTAATATTAAATAAGTACATGCATATTAATTATATGCATAATTACACGACCAGGCGCGACAGCAGCATTTCATGTTTGCTGTGTTGGGTGTTTTTGGTATAATTAAAACGGGTCCTGACATTGCGTATACGTAACGTGACTAAGGCACAAAATTTGGAGTGTTCCCACGAGAGTTATTTCCCTTATTGACAAATTGAAACGTGGCAATTTAATCGAATTTTGGAGACAACATAAAAAGCAATCGAGAGTGCAAAATTATGTGTTTTATTTTGTACATATTAAAAGACTTTATGGGAGCATCTTCTTTGGGCAATATTCAGAGTACAAATGCAAGCTTTAGTTTGATATTCATGCGGAAATATATACCTAAATTATTATTTTATGTATTCGCCCATTTATATTCCACAACATTCCCTGCTTTGTTACTTTAATTAGCGTTTCCGAAATCCAGAACATCCCTCAGAACTTCCTTATGATTTTTTGCCTTCTGTTTTGTGCGCCCTCCTGGCATGTGTGTGCGGTGGGGATTTCTGATTTCTGAGTGCTTCAGACTCAAGTTGATTATGCTTCTGACAGAGTCATTAACAATTTGTGTGTCTGGGATTTGCTCAGATTTGATATGCATTCCTTACGCTAACTAGTCTTTTCCTTCTCTCTCTCTCTCTCACTCTCGCTGTGTCTATGTTGCCGCAGGAGCAGGACGCTCCAGAAGCACCAGAAGTTGGTGGCACCAGCAGCAAGAACTTGAGGAAACAGCACAGACAACAGGAACTGTGGCACAACCAAAAGCCGATCAGCAGCTCATTCAGCGTTGAGTGTTTTATGGTGCTAGACAGCAGCGGCAATAAGAAGAAGAACAACAACAACAACGGAACAACCTTAACAACCAGCGCCAGCCGCCTGCAGCCTACAGGGGCAGGGCAGGAAATATCATCCACGAAGCGAAAGGAACAAAGCCATTCAACAAGATGGCTGGCGGGGGTAGAACAGCCGGAAAGTACGGTTATTCGGACAACAGTTATTACAGTAGTAAGTGCCTAAAGATAACCCCGATTAAAATCTACTTAAATAAATATTATTATTATTATTTTCAATGTTGGAGCGGATAAGCATTATTAATACTTTTATTATTCGTTTATTTGCATGTTGCTTTGTGTCCTTTCCAGTCCTCTTTTAACCACTGTACATCCGGTATCCAGTCTTCTTGCTTCATTGGGGAGTACACTGAGAGAAAGAACTATTATATTGCATACAGTTTTACTTTCTTAGTTTCATATTAAGAAACGTTGTCACAAAAATAATTAGGTTTAAACTTTATTCAGAGTTTGATGTGATGTGGAATATGTTTAAAATTAGAAAGGAATATTTACAGATGGAGTAGGTTCGCGAAAAGCTTTCGTTTGGCGTTTGCCTGCAATCAAAATCGAACTCTTTTGTTCGTCGTGGAAAATTCTTTTTTTTCTTTAGAAACCTCCTCAAAATTGTAATGACTTCTACTGTTGCCAAATCTATTCATTCTTGATTCGTTTTGTTGATTTTCTGGTCTCAAATTCGTTTGATTTTCTCAGTGCGTGAGAAAAGCGGCTGGTTGCCCATTGTCTGCCTCGTCGCCCATTTGGCGAGTCTTATATTTGCCCCACTGGCGTCGACTTGACGTCCTCTTGTTCCTCCCTCCTGCCGAGCTACCCTACCACGCCCGGCATTCTTTCCTGATGAAGTCCCGCCGCATGCCATACCGTAATCAGTGTTGCACAGCGTGTTTTTATTTTTTTCTTTATTTATTTATTTGTACTCCCATATTCAAAGCTCATTCTTGCCACATTCTGTCCGTGTCTCACTTTTTTTTTATTACATTTATTTCGTTGCGTTGCTCATTCACATGAATACTCGTGAATGCGTGTGTGGAATGGGCATTTCCTTTGTTAGGTGGGGGGTGGTGTGCTGTGCTGTGCGTAAGTGGGTGTGCGTGTGTGCACAGATGATTTGTTTATGCGTATGTCAGCTGGGGGGGATTTTTGTGTTCGTTTTATGGGACATCCCAGCCACCCGCATACACGGCATAGTATTATCATTCACGCCTGAATGCGAGTGTGACATTTGAGAGCAAAGGAACAAGGTACTCGGACGGCCCCCGAAATGTGTATGAAAATTTCGAGTGGGTAAAGTTGCTTAGTCCGTTTAATCAAGTCCTGTCTTTATTGTGCTTCCTGCTAAAGCAAATTCCATTCTCATTCAGATAAACCATAGTTATTCACATTTTAGAAGCGTGAATGATTTCTTTTTGAGTGGCACAGCCTAATGTTGCAAGTACTTTACCCACAAATACGACTTCTTGCTGCGTTTGCATAAACTTTTTTGTTTGTTTGTTTCCTTCACGCAAAATGCCTCCAAAATTCACCAAAAAAGTCGCCTAAGTGTGTCTGAATACCCCCCCTAATGAACGCCCCCTAGCAACGGGAGGTACACGCCCACACGTAGCTACCAGCAATACACCCACCAGCAGCAGCTTATAGGAAGCTTTGAATAAGTTTATCATAGTTTTTGATTGCCACAAATTGTGCGTTATTTATGAGCTTGCACTGGCTCCCTCTTGCCCGCTGTGTAATCTATATCATTGGGGCAAGGATCCCACAGACAGGACCACGAAAAGGACCACCTGCTGTGGTTCTGTGTGTGTTTGTGTTTGTGTTTGTGTGTCTGTGGCTTAGCTCTCAGTGTTGGTAAATGGCATAAAATAAGCATTAAATAAGTTGTCATCGTGGCAATCGGATATCCCTGTGCGGTATATCCCTTCTGCCACGTGGCTGCGCTTTTAACCCTGGGGAAATCTAATTGAAAATAAATATTTATGACTTGATTGTTATTGCTGATATTAACGAGCGTTTGCGCATATATTTCATGAACATTCAGAGGGACTTACACATGCATTGGAATGTAATTTGATTTGTATTTAGTTTTTTTTTGGGGGGGTGTGTGGGTTTTATTTTTATTGGGAAACTTATTCCGCTGATTCGTGAGGCTTATGTATGCTAGATTTGTGTGCATTAATTGTTTGTACATGATACATACATGAGAGGAGAGCAGAAGAAGCAAAAATATTGGAATTTGTTTTGTCTTTGCGCCATCGTTAAATGTGCACATAATGTGTTATGTTTGTATATGATTAACATTCCAAATGGCTTACAAAGCCCTTAGTGGATTTGGGGTTTTGTGTCTGTGTGAGTGTGAGTGTATATGAAATGAGCCAAGGCGTTGGGCCAACACAGATCCATTTATGCCTTCCGTCATTCGGGGCATTGAGAATGTCTTTGTTAACTTGTGTGGCTTTAAAATCTGTTTTTTTGGGTGTAAGTGTCTTCAAAATAAGAATACGTGTTTAGGAGGTCTTTGCCCAATCCGGGAACTTTGCAGTCTCCGGGAAGATAATTTTGCCCCACTGACTGTTCAGCATCAGGATAACAAAGGCCCAAATTGTCGGCAATATGCCGGCTATGGCCAGGTACTTGGTCTTGATGCCAGCATAGCCAGATATAATGGCGTTGGGCGGAGTGCTCACTGGCAGATGATAGGCCATGCTGATGGCCAAAGTCGGAGGCAGCGTCAGCTTCAGGGGATGCATCTTAATGGCCAATGCCATTTCGCTGAAGATCGGTATGAGTATATTGCAGATGGCCACATTTGAGCTGAAAGCGGTGCAGAATAGGCCAATAAAAATGCACATGCCCTCGACGACAAGAGTTGGCATCTTGGAGGCGAATCCCAGCGAATCACCCAACATCTTGGCCATGCCACTGACCTTGCTGCCCTCGGCCAAAGCAAATCCACCGCCTGCAAACGACACATATATATGTACATATCTACAAAAATGAGTGGAGCCCGTGCTGTTACATACCCAGCAGAAAACATAGACCCCAGGGTGTATTCGTGTGTATGTAGACCCAGGAGAGCAGGGCATCCATGCTCTGACCCGTGTAAGGAGCTGCACAGATCGCAGTACAAAACGGATTAGGGCATAGCTAAGTAATGAATGGATCTACTCACGTTTGCCGCAACAGTACTTGAAGAACGTATACTGTGTGGGCAATGCGAAAAGCAATATGACGGGCAGCCAAACGGGAGGTCCACTGCCTATTTTCCTAATAACAAAAAAAAAATAATAATTAAACAGTGGCTCACACCCCACGCACTCCCATGAGTACTTACTGTGCATTTAGGAAGTCCCCCCAGCCAGGCACAAAGCCCGGCTTGCGTGTGAACAGCAGAAATACCATCAGTATGAACAGCAGCGTCACTTGTATCTCATGGCAGGTCATGGGTCCCAGTTCCGTGTGGCGTGCCTTGATCACAGTCTTCACCACATCCTGGCCCTCGGTGCCGCGCTTCACCTCCTTGCCCGTCTTGCTGTTGGGACGGAACAGACCCATGTGTGTGACTTGCAGCGAAAGATATAGCAGCAGTACGTTCACAATGACCACAAGTGGTATGGCATAGGCCATGAAAATGGGAAAATCAACGCTGGTCAACGATTTGGGAAATCGTCTGAGAGCGAGGGCAGGACACTGATATGAGAGCCACAAATGGGGAGCAACATTATTTGCTTACGTGTCGTATAAGCCCTTGAAGGTTAGATTTGTGCCAGTGCCAATTAATGTGCCACAGCCGCCAATTGTTGAGGCATAGGCAATGCCAAAATAGAAGGCCATCGATATGGTCGATGGATGTGGCGGATCGCCCTCCTCCATTGGTTCCTCCTCTTGCGTTTTGTACACAGTGAATATATTTTGCTGTAATATATATATATATATTGTAAATATAAATATAATCTAATTTAAAGCCAACTGTTTAACTATTGCTCACCGAATCGAGTTCGCTGAGCACAGCCTTGACAATGGGACACATCATGGCTGTGGCAGCCGAATTGGAGATCCACAATGAGATGAAACATGTCACCATAACCAAGCCAAAGTGTAGACTGCGTGAAAAAGGAGTAGCTGCATTGGTGGATCCTTCCCATGGATGCCCGTTCAGTACTTACCGCCTGGGGCTGCAGCCCACTATGAGTATGGTCTTCATGGCAATACGCTGATGCAGATTGCTATATTCGATGGCCAAGGCTATGATTAGGCCGCCAATAAACATCACAACGGTATCGGAAAAGTACAGCTTGCACACCTGATCGGAACTCTATATAAATTGATTAAATTTAATCAGGTATTAATCGATTCCCTCTGCCACTCACCAAAATATCAAAGAGTGGCAAAAAGACCACAGGAAATAGCGATGTCAAATAGAGAGGAATCGCTTCGGTTATCCAAAAGAGTGCCATATTGGACACCAGATACATGCATCTAAATGCCTGCAACTCACATCCTTTAAGCGAACATTATTCGTCAACATGCAAAGGGTGCCACACTTACTGGTTCTTTCTCTGTAACGCCATGGATCAGCAATGGCAAGGTCAACAATGGCATGAGAATTGTTGCTTTGCCCCGCCAATGGAAGCCGCAACATTTTCCCATGCTCCGCTTAGCCGGGATTGGCTCATTTGGTTCTGGTCTGTTCAATCAATGGTCGGTTAATGCCAATAAAACTCTAAATTGACAGTCATTCAACTACTTACTCAGCCATTTCGGCTGCACTTAAATTTGTGTGTGTTGTCTGTTTGTCAGCACACGTCTAGTACTGTGCGTTTTTTACAATGATTTTTGTTAACTGATTGAAAGGTGATATTTTGTAGGTATTTGCCATGACATACTGCGCCGGCAACAGCTCTAACAGAACAGCGCACTCTGTCTTTCCTTCCTCGGAATGGTTTCCACTGGAAATAATAATTGTACTTTATTGTCTGTGATAATTGTTAACAACAGACCTACATAATAAACCTAAAAAAAATAATAAAAAAATAAAAAAACATCTTGAAATCCATTAAAAACGAGAAGGAACGTGTGCGTCGCTTCTGGGGACGCGACTCTACTTATATCCGTACTCAGTCAGTATATACATTTTTGAGCTTATGATTTTTTCAAATTTTAGAATTAAAAAAAATTTACATTTTAGAATTAAAAAAAAAATTTTAACGAGGCAGAGTGTGCGAGCGAGAAAGAGAATGAGTAGCGGGTCTCTTGCTGAAGGAGGAGGGGGAAACAACAGAAATTAAGTCCTTCATTCCGGCTATAATTATGATCCGATCTGATTCAGATTCGGCAATCTGGTAGATATGGGCATTCTCTACGATACTGCGTCCTTAATTTGTATCGTATCGTTAAAATTGTGGCTGCCAGAGATTTTCGTCCTTTGAGGGGGCGGAAATACACTTGTAGCAGTGTGATATCACATGAGTCTGGAAACCAAATTTAGTTATTCTAGCTCTTATAGTCTCTGGGATCTAGGCGCTCATCGAGACGGACAGACGGACATGGCTCTATCGACTCGGCTATTGATGCTGATCAAGAATATATATACTTTATGGGGTCGGAAACGTTTCCTTCTCTGCGTTGCACACATCCACTTTTACCACAAATACAATATACCCCTTAACTCTTTTTTGAGTACGGGTATAAAAATCTCAAGCTAGAAAGTAGGCGCGCATTGTAGATCAGTATTTTTTCTCAAAGAAATTAACTTAAACTTTCATTGGAATTTTCCGTAATTTATTTTAATCAACATTATAATTTGCAGAGTCTTTGTTCTAAACAGTTTAATAAAAGCTCTTGAGTTCATCTAATAGATGTCCACGTGTCTTGTTTTTCCACTCTTTGGCCCAATCTGGGAACGTTTTCATTTCGGGAATGACTACCATTCCCCAGCTAATGCTATTCACAAATACCCAAAAGAGTCCCCAGAATGTAGGCAATAAGCCAGCTCTAATCTGCACGAGAGAGAGATAGAGAGGGATAGAGATCAATCGCTTGAGTGAATGACTGTATAAAAAGAGACTTAAAGATTAAGCTTACCAAATATTTGGTCTTGATGTTTGCGTAGCCACAGATGATGGCATTTGGTGGCGTGCTCACGGGCAACAGGAATACCAGACTTGTGATCAGACATGTGGGCAGAGTGAGCAATAGGGGATGTACTTCCAGGTGAAATGCCTGTGGGAAGAGAGCGGTTATGCGATGGTTATTTCAATGGAGATTTTTGCTTACCAATTCACAGTAAATGGGCAAGACAATGTTGGCCACCACCACGTTCGAGGTGAAGGCGGAGCAGAACAGGGTGAATACCAATAGAATCAGCAGCACCAATAGTATTGGCATCGCTGAGGCAAACGACATCGATTTGGCAATATACTTGGTCACTCCGCTCACTTTGCAGGCCTCGGCCAAAGCAAAGCCACCACCTGGGCGGGATGGAGGATGGATGCGATCAGTTAGAGGAGACATAGCTGTCATGGACACGTACCCAAAAGAAAGCAGAGACCCCAAGGCAAGGTGCGATGCAAGAAATCCCACGATAACAGAGCATCCATGGCTTGAGCGGGAAAAGGAGCTGCAAAGAGGCAATAAATATATTGAGAGATCTCTGAAGGGGGGAAGTACTCACCCTTGCCACAGCAATACTTGAAGAATGTGTACTGAGTGGGCAGTGCAAAAAGTAAAATCACACAAACACAAACTGTTGAAGATGTTCCAATTGGCCTACGAGAGGAGGAGCAGAGGATCAGAGGATCAGCCTACAGTATGAATATAAATATATATCCGGCACACCACTTACTGGGCATTGAGCAGAGCTGTCCAACCCGTAAAGACGCCCGGCTTGCGGGTGAAGAGTAATAGAATCATTAATGTGAATACGATAACCACTTGAATTTCATGAACACTCATGGGACCCAATAGCTTGAGGCGTTGCTGTAGAACGACCTTCACTTGGTCCTTATTATCGGTTGCCACTTTCAGGGCCTGGCCCGTCTTGCTGCCCGCTCGAAAGAGTGCCATGTGGGTGATTAGGAGGCTTATGTACATGCAAATCATGTTGGCGATCACAACGAGAGGACACGTATAGGCCATGAACAGAGGGAAACTGATTTCCTCCTTGGAAGTGGGAAAGGTTCTTAGGGGGGGCGGTAGGGTAGGGAGGTATGAAAATGGTTAGGAAACAAAAAAGAAACTTCATGCCAGTGCTTACGTTTCGTAGACACCCTTAAAGACCAGATTTGTGCCGGTGCCAATGAGGGTGCCACAGCCACCCACTGTGGCCGAATAGGCAACGCCAAAATAGAAGGACATGGCAACCTTTGACAGGTGCGCGGGTCTGTACAAAAAGATCAAACCTGAAATGTTAGTAAATTGTATGAAAAATGCTTAAGTCTATCACTCACTCGCCCTCCTCCATGGGTTCCTCCTCTTGGGTCATAAATACTTGAAAGATTTTCTCAGTTTCCATCTCATGAAGCACTGCCTTGACAATGGGGCACATCATGGCCGTACCCGCCGAATTCGATATCCATAGGCTCATAAAAGAACTAACCAGCATACAGCCAGCGAGTAAACTGAAATGGAACTTTAACTAGTAAAATTGAGAGCAAAAAATAGAAACACTTACCGCCTGGGACTGCAGCCCACAAGAATGATCGTTTGGAGTGCAATCCGTTGATGCAAATTGCAATATTCGATGGCCAGTGCAACGACCAAGCCGCCGTAGAACATCACAACAGTGCCGGAGAAGTAGTGCTTGGTCACATTTTCGGAGCTCTAAGGTAACATTTTTTGTTCTACGTTCGCCACTCTGGTCCATATATCAATACTCACCAAAAAGTTGGCAACTGGCAGAAACATGATGGGTAATAGCGCTGTCAGGTATAGAGGAATGGCCTCGGTTATCCAAAAGATGGCCATAATAACCAACAAATATAAGCAAACAATTTCCTAAAATGTGTACAAAATAATAATCAAAAGAAATAGCGGATAGGGTGGGGAGTAGGGGTGGGCTGTACTCACTGGCGATTCACTAACGTAACCATGGAGCAGCATTGGTAAGAGTATAAGTGGTACTAAAACGGTCAATTTTCCCCTCCAATGGTAACGGCAACATTTCCCCAAGCCCCTACCCACGGAGATTTTCTCGTTTGGTTCTGGTCTGGTTTGGTTTGGTTTTTAAACTTACTAAATGCACACAAAACAAATTTATTATATTTAAATTTAACTTACTCAATTGGTTCAGCCATTTTGTTAGAATTTACTGAATTGTACTGTGCATATGTTGTTTAGACTTGAAACAGAATGAAATTCTATAGTTCTCGTCGCATTCTTTGTTTGGGTTTGTAGTTGAAACAGTTTTAAAGGGGAGTCATGGAAATATGCTTTATTATTAAAGTGAGCCGGTCCCAGCTACTCATCGTCAGCATTTCCATTGCAGGAATCACCATAGGCTTTGGTGTACAGAATATTGACGTCTTGCTAACATAAAACACTCATTTATTAAATATTTATTTCATTATCGTAGCAATTAGCACACCGTCAATCAGCAGGCAACACTGGCAACGGGGCAACACTTTGATGTCATTTAATTGATAATTTCCTCTTCCACACTCCACTCCAATCCAAAACCAAGGCCAGCCCCGAACCCCAGTCGGTAGCAACCGGAAAGGTCAAATTGAAATTAAAGAAAGCTTACGGAGAAAAAAACCATAAAAGCGAAAAGTTGGGGGAGTCGCATCTCTGGGAACAAAAAGGTTTCGGTTTCGGTTTCAGTCTGGTCCAAATGAAATTCCTTAATGTTGGCCACAAAACACATTTCGAAGGATTTTTGTCAGTGACAGCCAGCAGGACAGCAGCAAACAAGCACACACAAAAGACGCACATAAGCACGCTTATACATATGAGACGGATATTACATAACCAATAGATGAATACTGGCTCCTGCTGCCTAGCTGCTCCTCCCGGCTGCTCCTACTTTTTTTCCATTCACATAATCTGTCAAATGACTTTATTGACTGTTGGGATTTCTGGGGAAAAACAATAAGCGAAATTTAATACAAAAATGGGAGAGCAGCAGAGCGACAGAGCAGGACATGTGTCCTTGAGTGTTGGCTCCCAAAAAATGGTCTCTGGGCTCATCCAGTCGTAAATCCGAATAATTTACGCTCAGTTAAGTTGTGGGGGCTCAGTTTTTCCATTTTTGGATTGCTTCAATTTGTGTGTGTCAAATGCGTTTTCCTTTCTTCTCATTCCTCATGCATTTTGCATATTTCCTGCTTTCATAATTCACAGTTTGACAGGGCCCAAAAAAAAGTTATGGGCAGGCCCCTAGGCATATCTATGAATTATTTCGCATGCCGCCTGTCCTTCGGCTCACTCTCACTTGGCGCTGGTCTGCCTTACACTTCTTAAGTTTGGCCAAAAGTTTTATTGCGCTTTTGATGTTTTAAGAAATTTGCGGTTTGGTTTTTCTTTTGATGTAATACTCAAATATAAATGGCCAAGCAATTTGTTTGAGGGGGAAACCCACAGAACTTTGACCGCACTGCAAACTTTTGATAATTAAACGAATTTCCATCTAAGGACGTTTGTGGTATGGAGAACCAAATACCACAAATCGAATTGGCCTTAATCATGTGCGAAAGGAAGTGTTTTTGAATGCAGCAAAGCCCCATAGGTAAGGATAATTACAGAGGATCCTCCACTGTGTGCTACATATCTCATTCTCAAGTCAATCGTCTCGGGCTTACTTCTTTTTTTTTTAGGTTCCCCCTTTCATTTGTTTTAATACACACGAATTTCGTATCTGTTAGATTTATTGGGTTGAAACAAACGCTAAAAACGGGCAGATCATTTGCGTTTTCTTGAGGCTACTTCTGGTACAGTCCTTCCTTAAACTGTAGTCTATTAGCACTTAAAAAATGGCAATAAATCGCAGACGGGCTTTGGATTTGTATTGCCTTGCCAGCAGGTAAGGCCGGTCTCTGCTGGGTCACGTCAGGTAAAAACAATCGAAATGATTGCCAATTTATCAGGAAAGCAAAATGACCATGAGCCATGAACCATGAGCAGCACTCAACGCCTAGATGCCAGCCAATCAAGTACATTGACCACACTCTCGCACACACACACGCACAATGTAGATGAGATTATTGTCCGGCATGGGGCTAGTGGCCAGCAGGACATTTTGGCTTTGAGGCGGCGTCGTCTTTGCCATACGAGAAGTCTAATTAACAAATCTGCAGCAATGGCTGGCGTCGTCGCTCTAACTTGTTTGATGTTGTGTGTGTGCTCTTTGAGCTGAACGCTCCATCGATTATGTGTTAAATTACGCATAAAGCAAACATCTGGCTACCCCCAAATGGGGCACCGTACAATGAGCCAGGGCCGCACACACACAAAAAAAAAAGCACAAGCAACGCTTAGAGGGTTTGATCAAATTGAAATTCGGGTGGGTTGGGGGCATGGTAAACATTATAACAAATGGCTTTCGTTTAAATTGAATCGAGAAAAATCTGGAAATTTATTGAATGCAGATGCAAATATTTACAGGGCTTCCCCGCAACAATTAATATTACGAATTCGTTAATTAAAAATATTAAATAAAATGTGTGAGCAAGATAAAGCATTGTGGTTATACCCTACAACATTTCAACTGAGAATCAAGGAGTATTAACCAGCTTAAAGGATTTAATTCTTGCCCCATTATTACGTGCTTAAGTCTGGGAATTTAATATTTTTTGTCTCTCTGCGTACATCTGTTCCCGTTGCATTAATAATCCAAAAACAAATACATGTACATCGTAAAATATTGAAATGGCTTTTGTAATAAAAATTCGAATTGCATGTTCAATCTTTATAATATTTTTATTTTGCTTTTTGTTCATTGCTTATTTTTATTATACCCGTACTCAAAAAAGAGTTAAGGGGTATATTAGATTTGTGGTAAAAGTGGATGTGTGCAACGCAGAGAAGGAAAATTTTCCGACCCCATAAAGTATATATATTCTTGATCAGCATCAATAGCCGAGTCGATATAGCCATGTCTGTCTGTCCGTCCGTCCGTCCGTCCGTCCGTCCGTCTGTCCGTCTGTCCGTCTGTCCGTCTCGATGAGCGCCTGGATCTCAGAGACTATAAGAGCTAGCGAAACCAAATTTGGTTTCCAGACTTATGTGATATCACACTGCTACAAGTGTATTTCAGAATTTCGCCCCGCCCCCTTCCGCCCACACAAAGGACGAAAATCTGTGGCAGGCACAATTTTAAAGATACGATAAAACTAAAAACGCAGTATCGTAGAGAATGCCCATATCTACCAGATTGCCAAATCTAGATCGGATCATAATTATAGCCAGAATGAAGAAATTAATTTTCTGTTCCTTCCCCTCCCCATCACGACGGAGACAACACAACTCATTTTCCTTCTCGCTCGCACACTCTGCCGCGTTCAGTGCGCGAGCAACCCCTAGCGGAGGAGATGTAGAATCTAAATGGTACATGTAGAATATACATGTTAGATGTATAATATAAATAGTATATGTAGATGTAGATAACAGATGTAGCAAAAAAATGTAAAATGTAAAATTTCTTTTTTTTTTTAAGTTCTAAATAATTATATGCTTAAAAATGTATATGCTGACTGAGTACGGGTATAAGTAGAGTCGCGTCCCCAGAAGCGACTCACACGTTCCTTCTCGTTTTTATGTCTTTTTCTGTTTTTTTCTCGTGGGGTGGGTTGATTGCCTTCGGCAAATATATGCATGAGCAACGTTTATTTTTTATAACAATGCATTTGTCATGCTCTGACCACATTCATTGTTGTCCAGGAGGCAGTACCTCATGCTGCTCCTGTGGCATCAATATGCATGTGGAGGGGGAGCCCTAACAAACCGAAATGTTGATTGACAAACAGGAGGACGAACAGGAGGAGGAGGAAACCAAGCCTGTGGCACCACCTGACAAGAATAATTGCCTGTAATTTGTCAAAAGGCGGCCTGTCCTCTAAATCTTTCCCACTCCTGGAATCTCTCACTTTTATCTTTTTGCATCTTTCCCGTTCAGCTCTTAAACTGTTTTATTTGTTGCCGTGTCTTTTCCAACACTCTTTAATCTGTTTCTGTTTCTTTTTGTCTTTTCTGTGCAGGTCACTCCTACAAGAGCATCAACGATGAGATTATTCTGGTCAGCATTATAATGGGCATCACCATACTGGTGCTCATCACCATCGCCCTGTGCTACATTGCGTATGAGAAATGCCAGAAGAAGCGGGAGTACTATATCAATGCCTAGAGAGGCCACATCTAGAATGGGGGTGGGGGCTGGGGGCTGGGGGTGGTGATTTCTGTGCCTGGGGGCTCAGTGAATCCCATGGTTTACTTTTTCTTTCAGTTGGTGTTTACTTTTCTCCTACTGTAGCCTGTGGTAGCGTAGCAAGGCTAAATGTCAACACGGTCTAGCAACAATGTTGACGTTGACGATTTAGTTGGCCAACAAAAATAACCAAGAGTGGCTTGCATCCTGCATACCATCCTGCCTCGCCACTTGGATACATAGATACAGATCCCCCCCCATACATACACAAATCGGAATGCAGCGGAATTTTTGCTGTTTAAACGTTTCTCCAGTCCTTCCCTCTGTGCTTTTTTTTTTGTTGGTTTTGCAGTTTCTCTGAAGTGGCTGCTGGAACGGAAAAGGAAATGCATGGCATGGCAGGGCATGGCTCTATTATGTTGCCACTGTGCACAGTGGGCTTGAATAATGTTACGGATTTTTCCAAGCAATTTCGTCCTGCAGCGGTCATTAGCAGGCGGCAAAAAAAAGGGATAAATTTGAGATAAATTGGAGCAAACTTTTACTAAAGAAATCTTTCACATTTTGCGCAATTTAAATTTATGTAATTTCATTCAAACAATCAACAGTTGGCAATACAAATAAATGCCTGCCTTAAATGCCTGCCTGCCTGCCTGCCTGCCCATGCAAGTGAAATGTTATGAAAATTGTTGCCATTAATCGAAAAAGCTGGCCAAACAATGGAAAGGTTTTTCCGCGCTTTTTTCATGCATAGTACAACTCAATAAATTTCCATTTGTATGCCGCAACACCAAGGCAATTCAATTTAAAATGCAATCCGACTCGTTGGCAGCATGCAACAACCTTTTGTTTGTCGCACAAAAAAAAGCAACCAAAAACCCCCTCAGAAAATGCCACAGAATGAGGAGGGCAGAGCAAGAGAAATACGAGAATAAGGCAGGCGAATCTTCTGCAAGTGTTTCTGTGGTTCAGTTCGATATTGTGGCTAACACCCGGAGCCAACCATATCCCGCATGCGGGTATGTACATGTTTACATAACCTACATATGTACATGTGTACATACATATATGCCAATTTCGAGTATTGACAGCGTGGGGAGCATTTAACCAACCAATGGACAGACAGTCAGACAGATAAACTGAGTGACTTTTCTTATAGTGTTCTTGTGTTCGCAGTCTCTTTTGGAGCATGTCCCTCGCTTTTGTCTACAATTTCTCTCTTTTTTGGGGTAGCGTGGCATCGTAGCTGGAGGCTGTAATAATAAAAAGAGCAACTGGGGCGGGAGGGAAACTGGGTGCTGGTGCGGCTGCAGTGTGCACACGAACAAAGCGTAAAGAAACAATAAAAGGAATCGCATAACAATTCTGGCAAGTAGCACAGCGGATTCCGTGTCCGTAGATAAAGGCCCAAAAGAGTTTGCTCCCGCCATTAAATTAGAGCAAAATGCGAACGTTTAAAGAAACCCAACACTAAGTCTTTGGGCTCCTGACAAAACCCCAAAATGTCTAACATCAATACACGTATCGTAAATGTATTGTGGCATCCACATCTGCACTTTGTGCGTGGGTGTGTGTGTGTGTGTAGGTAGAGTCTTAATGTTAATCAGCTTAGGCAACCTTAGAAACCTCCATCACACAGATGTGTGAAGCATTTCGGTATGTTTTCCTTTTTATTTTTGAGGGACATCAAGAGGCCTAAAAAGCAAACAAGCAGCACTAGGTGATGTGGGGTGGAGGGAAATGCTTTTAAAAATTAAACAACTGATAGATGACAAAGTTCGTTGGACCAGAAATTATCGTTTGACAAATTGCCAGGGGCCATGATGAGAGCTCATCAATTGAATGGCAACCAGGGCACAGCATCAGTTTCACATTCAGCAGTCTAGGCCACAGGCTGTACTTAATGACAAAGCCAGACGAATTACTTATGAATAAACGAGCAGAGGTTCTATTGAAATGGAAAATTAACTTCAAAATCCTACTTGAGTCTAAGACACAGCGGATTATGTTACGAAAATTACTAGGATTTGTGTTTATTGTGGATTTTATTAAAGTTAAAAATTGAGTAGCATCAACGAGCATCAGTATAATTTAAAGAACTTGGTGCTCTGCTTAAGAATGTTTAGATTTCGCCAGTTGTTGCCCAAAAGTATTTACTCATCTTCGAGCATAAGTTTACGCTCCTTTTTGGCCACAAAAAAAAACTAAAAACTTTGACCACAAAACTCTACACAATGGCGGGACTTGATACTCCGAGAGTACGGCAACGTACCACAAGAATGAACAAAAAACTTTACTAATTACCCGTTAAGCATGAGAAATCCCCACATAAAAATCCAGACACGCTCCGAGAGCACAATAATAAATTTGAAGATAGTCATAATAAAAACGGTGGCAAAGAAGATTGGGAAAGAACACGCGTAAGCAAAAAAAATTTGTAGCACTTGTCGTTGTGACGAAAGGTTTCGGGCACTCAAAATGCATCCTTCTTATCCTTTGACGGGAAATGTAGAGGAAGCTGCGTGCAAAATGAATGACTCGCAGCTTTTGGACAGACTCCGCTCCGGGGGTTTCGACACAAGCATACCCCCACCCCACATATAAGCCAACATACACGTAGTAAACTTTACGTCCATTTTTATAGTTTCCTTTCTTTAGTATGGCTGTCTGTCACACTAATTGCCACATGACTTTGCCAAAAAAAACAAAATAAAATAAGAATGGAAGAAGCGAGCGAAAATTAATGAAATTTACTTTATTGTAGCTGAAAAAGTTTTGTATATTGCATTTAATCAATTGCACTTCAAAGCATACATATATATATAGCGTATAGATATCTATATAACCAAGATAGATGTGACCACTTATACCTAAATAGATTGATTACCTATTAAATTTCGTAGATAATTCACTCTTTTTTGGCATGAAAAGAGGGACCAAACGTACCACAAACGAATCCAATGCGATGTGTACTTTATTTTGAAAATAAACACAGTGAGATCTACTCTACGATATAAATGTTGAGATTAGCGGGGATAAAACAAAGATTGTTAATACTATATAATACGATATACTTCATGTACAACATTATTAAATAAAGAAAAAAATCTTTATGCATGTTATTTAAACGCAAATTGAGCTTTATTTATCGTTTAAATTGCGCGCCGTTCGTTTCAGTTCTGCAAAGCGAACACTGTGAAATTTACCGATACAGATGTAGAAATATCGGTAAGATGTAGATCGTTTTTTCTTGGTATATTTACGGTATATTTTTAAAATGTGAAGGTATATTTCGGTATATTTATGAGGGTCGCAATATGCTTGCAATTTTTCTTTTGTTTATTGGTAATACGAATTGTTTTGCAAGATTTTGTCCCATAATCCAATTGCATGTGCTGTGGCTGGGTCTGGCGTTGATTTATGTAGCCAACGCGCTCACGCTCGGTGTGCATACAATATATTTTATCGATAGCTCCGCGGTTACACTGGTCACACTGCTGTAAATGTAAATAGACGGAACTAAAAACACCTTAAATTTTGGGTTTTAAGACTTGTGAGGGAAGGAGTTATAGGAGAGCCATTAGCTGGTCAACTAAATGCGCATCAAAATGAATTGTGAAGTGCAGGAACAGCAAACACTTGAGCCACAGCAGCAGCAACAGCGAGAACAATCGTCGCTGCCCCTGTCCCCACCGCAGCAGCCACAACAGCAGCAACAGGAAAGTAGCGACGATGACGACTTGAGCACCACAGAGCGACAAAATTTGGAGTTTGCCAAGAAGCTGGGATACAGTGATCAGTCGATACACTCGGCACTAACCCGCCTGGGATCAGAGGCTAAGCAGAATGAGTTGCTGGCGGAGCTTATCAAACTGACGGCAGACGCCCCCCGACCTGCCACAAACAGCAATAGTCTAACGAACAGCCAACATCATTCCATAACCAGTTCCAGTGCCCCCCTATCCACGGGCGGAGGATCACTGCGACACATTGTGATCGATGGCAGCAATGTGGCCCTGTCGCATGGCAACAACCTAATCTTCTCCTGCCGCGGCATACGCATCTGTGTGGACTGGTTCCGGCAGCGGGGCCACCGCGACATCACCGCCTTTGTGCCCAATTGGCGTAAGGAGATGGCCAACAACAATATCAGCGACCAGGAGCTGCTCTATGAGCTGGAGCATGAGCGGGTGTTGGTGTTCACGCCTTCGAGGCATCTCGACGGAAAGCGTGTTTCCTGCTACGACGATCGGTTCATACTCAAGCTGGCCGTAGAGACGGACGGCATTGTGGTGTCCAACGATAACTATAGAGACTTAATCTTAGAGAGCAATGAGTACCGAAAGGTTGTGCAAGAACGTTTGCTCATGTATTCGTTTGTCAATGATATATTCATGCCGCCCGATGATCCCTTGGGGCGTTCCGGCCCCACGCTGGATCAGTTTCTGTACTCGCAGACGCAGCAGAAAATGGCCGATGCCCAGCAGCTGTGTCCCTACGGAAAGAAGTGCACTTACGGCCAGAAGTGCAAGTTCCGGCATCAGCAAACGTGTCCATTGCTGCAACGACTGCCCCTCCAGGCTTCGCATAGTGCGCCACTGCACACCAACGGAGGGCAGCCACCGACTAGTGGCCATATCGGGAACAATATCAAGATTAATTCGCTGATCAATCGAGAGCCTCTGGGCCGCACCAAGTCGAACACAATTGAGAAAGTGTCACAGCAGCAGCTGTGCCAGGCCTTTACCAGCCAGCTGGAGGTCTCTGAGACGGCCACAGACAATCAACTGAATCGCCACAAGAAGCTGCAACGCCAACAACCGCCGCCCGCCTATCGTCTACTAGTGCCCACCTACAGTGCTCCCCTGCAGCAGCAGCATCAACAGCAGCAGAGCTCCAACTTCCACCATCATCAGTATCTGACGCGTACTCCGTCCGCTCCAGTGACGGACCAAGGACTAGCCCTACCACTGCCCGCACACAATTTCTCGCACCTGTCCGCCTCTGATTCACGCATCAACGAGGAGCTGCACGCCACGCAGATGCCGCGCGAAGAGCAGCGTCGCCTGCTGCGCTATCACCTGAGCAGCCTCTTTCCGCCGCATCAGGTGCACGCAGTGCTGCAGCTCTATCCGGATGAGACCGATGCCAAGACCATCTGCGCAGCTATAATTAATTTATTTCCGCATAATTAGGATAAACTTAAGATTCTTAATATATTTAGATTTGTAATTACAACTTTATATGTTTAATCTTGCAAGCTTTTGATTAGATGTCCCCCACCATCAACATCTACATCTCGATGCCAACAATGTTGGCCGTATCATAGGGCATCAGGTTAGCGACAGTATCTCTGTTGGAGCCACGTTTTTGATGCACCACACGATGGTTACGCAGTTTATATGCCTGCGGGAAGCCTTTGCCGCAAATCTCGCAGCTGCAGAGGAACAGAAAAAAGGGTAAAGATGTCAAGTATGGAATGTAGCTGAGTGCATCCACTTACACGTGTGGCTTCTCGCCTGTATGTATCATCTTGTGGAACTTGAGCGTGTTTGTATAGGTGAATGTCTTGTGGCACACATCGCACTCGTACGGACGCTCATTGGTGTGGATTCTAAGGGTACATCAATTGAATATGTGAGCTATAGCTTAGTAGATTTGCGACTTGCACACCACTTACCTGTGATGCTTGTTGCGCGTGGAGAGATCTGCAAAGGCGGCCGGACAATAGCTGCACTTGTACGGCCGATTCCCTGTATGCGTATTCATGTGACGCGCCAGCTGTTGGGCCTGGGCAAAGCAATGACCGCAGATTCTGCAAAAACAAAAAACAAAATCCCATTTAAAATGTTAAATCCCATCTAATTCCGGGAAAGACAACAACTTACTCGCACTCGTGTGGCTTCACACCCGAATGGACTTTAATGTGCTCGGTGAGGCGACTCTGCGAGGGATACATATTGCCGCAAATGTCGCAGATGTACTTGAACTCCTTCTTGTCGCCGATGAGGATTTTGTGGCCACCCTTCGTTTTGATGCCATGTTTGCGCACCAGAGCATCGCCAATTGTGATGGTCGCCTCGCCCATGGTGACTGTGTCGTTGTTGCCACGTTTTATCTTCAACGGATTGCCACGAACACTCACCCTGGAGGTGGCTGGTGAAGTGATCGTTGCTGTGGCTGCCTTGGCGCGGGTGTTGACACGTCGTTTGGGTGCTAGCCCACGCAGTGGTTTACTGGGCAGGAATTCCTCTTCGGCTGAGTTTGTATCTTCCACCTCGTCTTCGTTGGCGCTCTCCGTCAGTTGATCCTGATCCTGTTCTTGTTCCTGCTCCTGCTCGACATGCTCCAGATACTCAATGTCCGCCGAGAGGCCAGACAGCGAATGCTCGACCATCTCCTGCTCCTGTTCCTGTTCGTAGATGCCTTCTGTGACAATGTCGCCCTCGCCGTCGTAGGAATCGTAGACATCGTATAGCTCCTCAATAATGCCGTCCTCCTCGACCTGCTCGCTCTTCACGTGCACGCTCTCCTCCTTCTCGAGCTCCACCAAAATGCCCTCCTCCATGTCGTCGGCAAAGGCTTGCGCCTCGACCAGCTCATTGGTGGTTGGCATATTTTCTTCGATTTGCTCATAGTGGCCCTCGACCACCTCCTCATCCTCCTCTTCGGCCACTGGAGCTTCTAGCGCTGCATTTTGCGAATCGTCGTCCGTCTTTAGCTCCACCTCGATGGGGCCCACAAACTTTTGGAGGTGCTTGTACGCCGTCTGGCAGGTCTGGCGAAATCTGTACGAGATGTGCAGCACCTTGAGGCATCTGGTGCATATTTTATCCGGAAAGTGATCGAACTTCTTGATCTGCAAATTGGAGTGCTCTTTATTGATGACTGGAATGGAATAAAGTCGAGAAATACGTACTGGCACACCGCCACATTTCTTGATCATGTTTGTCACATCCTTCGTCGCATCATCGCTGAAAATGCTGGACATGGGCTCCTTGGGCTGCGTCAGGCACAGCCGGCACACAATCCAGTTTTGTCGCGGTGCAACAGCCATTGGTTCTGTGTCGCGCATTTTGTCCAATTGTTTTAAAATCAATAAAATAAACAAGTTATCTTGTGCTACCTATATACCTTGTACCACACAACACAAGAATACGACGCTAAAAAGAAAAATGACGCCCGCGGGAGTGTGAAAAAATACTTTTTTTGGTATATTCGTATATACGGTACTTTCCATCGTTTGTTTTTATTGAATCCAATTAAAATTCAATTATGTGGCCAAAAAATTCGATTATGTGGCCAAAAATTCAAGCAAAATTAAAAAATCATATTGTAATTAAACAAAACAGTTTAAGTTAAGATTGTTATTAAGAATATATTTCCAGTATATTTGGTTTACAAAAATACCGAATACACCAATTTAGTATTTAATGCATTTCGCTGGGCGACGCTTGCCTCCGCCTCCAGCTGTTGAACCTTTTACAATTTACAATTACAAAAACGCTTTGATTCTGTTCTGTTCTCCCGGAAAACCATGAAAATGGAGTCGAATGAAGGGTGGATTGTTTGCCGCGTGTGCCTGAACAACCAGGGCGACAGCGAGGACCTGCTCCAGGATATATTCAGCCAAAATGCCAACACACGTCTCGACCAGATGCTCCACATCTGCGCAGGGATTCCAGTAAGTAGTAGAGCAAACGGTCATTCCGTAAATGCCAAGATTATAGCAACAATATATATCCATAAAACGTAGGTCAGTGCCGATGACAATTTCCCGGACAAGATGTGCAGCAAATGTGCGCGCTGCCTGCGCCTGGCCTACAAGTTCCGACAGACCTGCCAAAGATCGCACCAGCACATCTCGGACATGCTGGCCAGGGGTGGGAACAACACGCGCGGCGGCGGCGAAGAGAGTGCGTCCAGTGGCGAGGACTTTACTGCAGAGAATATCGTCAAGATATGGGAGGAACACACAGATCAGCTGGACATGAGCAATGTCAAGCTAGAGGATGAGGAGGAGCCCCAGGAAGAGACTGTCAACTTTATAGTTACGCCGCATGAAGACGACACCGGGGGAGATGGCGATGGCGAGGGCCTTGATGCAATTGTATACGATGCCACTGGCGAGGACGAAACGGAGACCACCGTGGTCTACGAAGACACTCAAACTGTGATCGAGGATGCGGAAATGTATACGGAATACGAGGAATATGAACTCCTGACCAACGAATCCACACCCCAGCATAGCACAGACGAGCCGGCAGGAAACCATTCCCGCATCGAATATCCGGTCGAAGCGCCGGACGATGATTTGGCCGTTGATATACTCAGCTCGGACGAAGCCAGTGACGAGAAGCCCAAGACAATGATTCGATCGCGACCGCCACGGGTTAAACGAACGGGAAAACTCGGAATAATTGCCTTGGATGGCGCACACTTTGAGAAAAAGCTGGGACGCAAGCCACGGGACAAGCTCAGCACGTACATTTGTGATGTATGCGGGAATACCTATCCGACGCAGGCGCGTCTCACCGAGCATATGAAGTTCCACAGTGGCATCAAGCCACACGAATGCGAGTATGTTTCCCCCAGCTGCTTGGTAAATAAATTATTATTATTATCGTGTGCTTGCAGAATTTGTGGACGCGGCTTTGTGCAGAATCAACAGCTAGTGAGGCACATGAATACGCATACAGGGAATCGGCCATACAAATGCAATTACTGTCCAGCTGCCTTTGCCGATCGTTCCACCAAGACCAAACATCACAGGTAAACAAATATAATATTTATCTGCTGCATAAAATTAAATAAATATTTCTCGTATGGCAGAATTCATACCAAGGAGCGTCCCTATGAGTGCGATGTCTGCTCTAGAACTTTTACTTATTCGGATAATTTAAAGTTTCACAAGATGATCCACACAGGCGAGAAGCCACATGTGTAAGTAGTCCTCAGATCCATGCCCATGCTTATGACTCTTTTCATTGGTTTTGCCCCTTTTGCAGCTGCGATCTGTGTGGCAAGGGTTTCGTCAAGGCCTACAAAATGCGTCTGCATCGTGTGACGCACGAGAAGCGCGGCGGTCCCTGGAAGTCTCTAGACGCGAGCATTGCTGACGATGCACATGGCATTAAAGATGAAATTCCAGAGTTTCTCAGTTAGTCATAGTTTTACAGCAACCAAAAAATGCCTCATGTCTGAAGGAAACCAAGCGAAGGAGTATAGAAAATAATGCCTGCGTTTTTTTCATTTACTTTGTGGTTTAGAAGTTTTTTAGTTGCGCAGTTTTATAGATTTACACAGGCCTGTAACTTGTTTCATCTTAAGTTTAAAGTAAGAGTCAACCTATTATAATCTGACTAGCAAAAGTAACAATTATGAAATGTATCTTCGGCTACATAACTAGTGTAAATATTCGTAGATTGTGTACTTGCTCACCTATCGAATGGATCGATAGATGAATCTATCTTGAAAGAAATCTATGTATGTAAATTGTTTGTTGTACTATAAACGCTGCTCTGAAATACTCATACAATGTGCACACAATTACTCCTCCTCCACTTCAATCACTGTAACGGTATCCATGTCCTTCATCCGATGTGACTTTTCGTGCGCATTCTTGTGATGCACTTGGATGAACGTACGCTTGCAGTGCTGACATTTATAGGGCTTCTCATTGGTATGCGTTTTGAGGTGCGCACTGAGCACATTGGAGTACGCGAATTCCCTGCTACAAAATGTACACTTGTATGGCCTTTCATTGGTGTGGATGCTGCAAGACAGACGGAAATACACTCCAGGCTAAGATTTTGTTCGAAATCAGAATAAGTCATAGTCTCACCGCTGATGCTTGATCCGTGTAGAGGGATCAGCAAAGCTCGAATCACAGAAATCACATTTATAGGGACGCAGACCCGTGTGCGTGTTCATGTGTCGCTTTAGCGGCGTTGTCTGATTAAAGCGCTTGTGGCAGATCCTGTAGGAAATCATGTCGTAAGAGAATCAACTACAATGCATATCATTTTGATTGTGGCTTACTCGCATTCGTGGCGCTTCAACTTATTGTGAACCAGCATGTGAACCGTCAGCTTGGCCTTCTCCTTGTAGGTATTTGGGCAAATGTGGCAGGCAAATCGTTTATTTTTGCTAGATTTTGACTCTGTTTCGGGAGTGGGAGTGCCAACGGGACTGAGGGACAGCATAGCTGTAGACTGAGGTTTCCGTTTCATGGGAGAAACAGCAGATGGAGGTTTCCGTTTCACTGGACCAATAGCAGACGGAGATTCCTGTTCCACTGGGGCAAACGTAGACGGCGGTTCCAGTTCCCCTGGAGCAGATAAGGCGGGCGAATCAAGTTTAATGCTAATTTCCACACTGCAATGACTGTCTGTGGTGCTCTTAGGCGATCCGTGGGACGCCTCATAGTTGTCCAGATACTCAGGCTCCATTTCGGTGTCGCTATCAATCGAGTTCTCCTCCCTGCACTTACTGGGTACATCATACTTTTTTGCTTCCTGCCGGAACTCTTTCTCAGACTCCTGGCAGAGGAGGCGCAGCTTGCGAGCCGCTCGAATGAGTAATGCGCAGCCAATGCATATTTTCTTTGGCCAGTTGGGGCCTTCGCTTAACTAAAATGAATATATTAGAGAGAAATCCAACGCTCAATCGAGTTGCCTGCCAACCTGAATGCCCGTGAAGCATTTGATTTGTTCGCAAAAATCCACGCCTGTGGCTATGAGAGACTCCTCCTCGTCATCCACAAGACAAATGCGACAACGCGAATCTAATTTGTCCATTTCTATGTAGATCCTTGGCTTATTCCGGCTACAGTTGAACTTAATTACTGGGCGGCCATAACAAATCGAATTGTTTGGCCCATGATGCAAGTATAATAAGGTGGTCTAATCAGCTGGGTTGAGGACTCTCTCTCTCTCTCTCAGCTCTCAGAAATATAAGCGCAAGAAAGAGATAGCACTCTTTGGCTGTTGTTGTATACAGCGAACATATCGTCCTTAAAAGAGAGCAGATGTCGCGATGAGAGCAGCCCACCTTATATAGTTGCAGCATGGTTTCGTGGCGAATGGGTAAACAAAGCAGAAGCAGCGTTCTATTTTGATTTGATCGTTAAATTGGGTTTGGCGGATTTTGTGCTGGTTATGTCTACCTCGGAGCTTGTGCTGGACATGGTTTCCGTGTGCCGAACCTGCCTGCAGGATGGAGACGCACACATGGTCTCTATATATGAGCCAGACAAGGAAAAAGACCGTGGGGGCATTTTACTCTGCGAGAAAATTGAAAGTTTCAGTGGCATACAAGTATGGAAGACCTCTTTCGCTTTGTTTTGTAAGCTGAATGAATTAAAATCTCCATTTTTGGTCAGATAAAACGCACCGATGATCTGCCCACCAGAATTTGTCTCAGGTGCAGAGCCTTTCTCACCTTGGCCCACAAATTCCGACAGATTTGTCAACGTTCAAACGACTTTCTACGAGATTATGTCTGCAAGAGTGTGGTGGCGGTGGAGCCTGAGGCCATATCACCAGCATCGCCCCGACATGCCGCAGAGACGGAACAATACGAACAATTAGAGGTTGAGGTGCTGGAAGAGGGCATGTGGTCTACGGATGATCTAATCGAGGAGGAGGAACAACAACCCACCAAAGAAGTCGAGGATACGGCCATTGTCCTATCCGTGGAGACGGTGCTACCAGCCCCACAGCCAGTCCCAGCCACTGCTGATAAAGTCTATGTCTGTGATATGTGTGGCAATAGCTATCCCCGCAAGAGCACACTGGCCACGCACATGCGACGACATCGCAACGAGCGGCCCTACGAGTGCGAGTAAGTGCATCCCATTACCCCCCTTTAAACAGCCCATTAATTGGCTTTATCCCATTAGAATCTGTCGCATGTCCTTTCACGTCAATTACCAACTAATGCGACACATACGCAAGCACACGGGAGCACGACCATACGGCTGTCCTTGTTGCCAGCGACGTTTTGCGGATCGCACCTCCATGGTCAAGCACGAACGGTTTGTTAATCTGCAACTTTGCAATCCAAATCTTTGCTGAGATTCTTGCGTTCTCTTTAGTACACATCGCAATGAGCGTCCCTATGTCTGTGAGACTTGCGGCAAGACCTTCACCTATGCCAGCGTCCTAAAGGTTCACTACAAGACGCACACAGGCGAAAAGCCGCACAGGTAAGTGCAGATAGCATCATTCAGGCTTGCACTCCATGCTATAAGCTTTACTCTCTCTCTCTCTCTTTTTGTCTAGCTGTCGACTCTGTGGCAAAAGCTTTGCAAGGAATCACAATCTGGTGGCTCATCTGCAAACGCAACAGCATCAAAATGATCCACGAACTGCCGACTATTTGAACTCGCTCAAACAAGGGAGTACCACGGCGATTGGCTAAGCAAATTTTGCTCAACTACGCTTAAGATTTATAAGTACTTTGGCCTCGTATATCCATAACTTGCTTTGTGAAAAATACCCACGAAATTTGTTTATATTTTTACAATTTCTTTTCATTTATTTAACTTACACGCAAGCGGTACACATGGGGTCGGGGCAGGGTTTTAATCCTTTCTTGTCTTACAAATTTCTACAACTTTTTATTTGTTGTACAAGAGAAAATGCTGAAAATTGATTGCGGGGTGCGATGGGCTGCAGACACTTGACTTTTGTTTTCGAGATAAATTTGTTGTAGAGGAAGTGGGGGGAGAAGAGAAGTCGGTGTGTGTTTTTTTTATATTTTAACAAAATTAAATAACAAACTATGAACTTGGATCATGATTGTGGGCGGCTGTGGGCTGGGCTTGGGTTCCTTTGCACAGCAAAGGGATGGGGGGCCGTGCCGGGCCCCATCTACTTGGCCAACATGCGAATTTTGTCTTTCAGCAGATTCCGCAGTTCGGTGACCATTAGCTCGTGCGAGTCCTTGAATGTGGCCGAAACATCGCCAATTAGCGTCGCCTCCACCTCGGGCTTTAGCGACATGTCCGCCATAAAGGAGCTTAGATCACGTGGCAGTACCGGCGCTTTCCAGGTCCCTGAAAAGTACGAATGGGGGAATATTAGTTGAGTTTGAGTTCGGTTATGTTGCAATCACTCACTTATGGCTGCATCACAGGCCTCTAGTTTATGTTTGAGCTGCCGCATCAGCTCTTGCACCATCTGGCTGCGCTCCTTCTCGCTGACGGGCTGCGGTGTGTCCAGAGTTTTGTTGTCACCTTGCTTCTTCTTGATCTTGGTCTTTGAGCTGACCTGCAGCTTGTCGTTCAGCACGGACAGCAGGAAGGCATACAGTGAGAGCATCTTAGGGGGGGATAGACAGGAAAAAAATTCAAGTCAAATTTAGATTTAGTTTTCTGTTAAAGCGAAATCACCTCCAGACTGGCAGCAACTTTCTGCTGCTGTTGTCGTCGCTTCCACAGACCATCCTTGCCATTCCAATCGTTGCTCTCGGTGATTGTCTGCACACACAGCTCCATGATGGCAATCACATTGTCGCCCACCTGCTTGCAATGCGCCGACAATGATGCCGCCCCGCTGTGCAGGTCGAGCACCAGCTGAGCCAGATCGTCAAAGAAACGCTCGTACGGCAGCTCGAGCAGCAAATGCAGCCGCGTGGGCAGCAAATTGACTAGAAATTGTTGCGGCAACGGTTTGTAGTTCATCAGCCTCAAACGCTGATACAGTCCCGTCCAGGAATCACGCAACAGCTCCAGGGTCGCGGTGGCACTTTCCGGCGCGGGTGTCTCCTCCTTGGAATCATCGCTCAGAGACGGCTTAGAGCTGGGCGGCGGATGATACAGGTCGATAAATGTGGCATACAAACGGAGCATCAGCGAGCGAAGCTGCAACACTTCCAACTCCTGGTCAAACGAATCCTTGCGCTCGGCAGCCGCATCCACCTGATGCAATGGATCCCAACGAATGATGGCGTCCAAATCGCGATTGTCGCTCAACTCGTGCCAGGCAATGCGATCCTCGGCCGGCTCAATGCTCATCGCCGTATAGGCGGACAGATTCTGATGGACATTGCCATAGCAGCTAACCAGATCGCAGATCTGTGCCTCCAACGAGCACGTCACATACTGCAGACTGTTGGTCAGTCGCTCCTTGAAGTTCAGGAACTCCTCCATCTTTGAGAATGTGCAAAAGCGATAGGTCAGCGCAATGTACTCCAATCGCTCCTTGTAGCTGTTGGTGAAGAACTTCAGTGTGGCATCATAGCAATTTCTGGCGCCCGAGAAGCGTCCGCACAACGGCAGCAGCTGGCAGTGCACATAGCCCATCGAGTCCAGTTGGATCTGCTTAATGTCCAAATAATCGTACATCTCCTGTGCCCCCACCAGGCAGCCAAACATGTGATAGATCTTCAGGCTCAAAAGCTTCACGTGGAAATTGCTGGTGCTGTTCCGCAGCACATATTGCAGCAGGCACAACGCCTCGAAGAGGTAATCCGACTTGTTCTCCCGTAAACTGATGTCATACATCACATTCGCCGCCAGCAGAGCGTACGGATCCGATGGTCCCATCTCGGTGGATAGCAGCTGGTTGCCAAATGTGCTCCTGCCATGCTCATAGTGCAGCTTCAGGGCCGTGTAGAAGGCCAGCAGATGGTCAGTGGGCAGATCGATGTGGGCACCACACATCCTTGATATTTGTAAGGCACAAATGTGCTTCTGCATTTGTTCCTTCTGCAAAGATTGAATCGTGTAAGGATTGAGCTTCGATATGGGGTTCATATATGGACTTACATTCATCGGCAATGATGTGGAGCTGACGCCACTCTCCAGCAGCAGTTTGTTGGCCAGCGCCTGGCGCTGTTTCATACTAACCGATGGCAAAAACAGTGCAATATCATGGGTACAGCAGGATTTGTCGGCAAACAGGGAGAAGTACTCGACGACCAGCTCGTCAAAGTTCCCGATGAGCTCCTCAGCTGGCAGCTGATGGGCACGCATACGCTGATGCAGCTCCAGACGGGCCAGATATGGGCCACGCCTCTTCCGCTCCGAGGAGTCAATAATGCCCTGAAGAAACTGCTGGCAGGCGGACAGAGAGAACTTTTTCTCTTCGATCTCGCCCTCTGTAATTGGAAGTTTAAGTATCTCGAAACAGCTTTGAATGTACTCCTTGTAGTAGTCCCAACGATCGCGACTAGAAAAGAGCACAGATAATTGAAGAACTCTCCAAATTGAAGGGTATAAGGGTATATCTCACTCTGCATCCAGTAGCTGTTGCAACAGCTCATTCAGCTCCCGCCAGTTGCCCAGCACTTTGAGCAGTTCAAATTTCATGCTAACCGGAGCACCCGGATAGAGTTTGGCACACAGTTCGCCCGTGAGGAATTCCCAGGCCTCCTGGAACTTCTTCTGCAGCTTCAGGATGTGCAGATAGAGAAAGGCCTCCTGCTCCGACTCCAGTTTGCCCTCCCTAATGTGCTTCTCGACCATGCGCTGTGCCAGACCCAGATAGATTTTGCTCTTCTCTGGCACTGCCGATTCGGGGCCACGTATGCCCTGGAACACCACACTGATCACGGACCAAAAGTAATAGGCATTCTTTGGCTGGGCCTTGTACAGCTGCAGGGCCACCGCCTGCTGGGCCTTGTAGTCCTCGACGCGCACATACGAGATGAAGAGATGGGCCAGCAGCTCCTCGTTGCCAGGATTCTTCTTCACCGCATGCTGGTACAGCTCCACAATTTTGTTCACTGCAATGAGGAGGGAAATATAATTAGCCACGCACAGGTACATATGCTATGTACAGCACAGAACGTTGTTGGCACACACACATTCTTTTGTCGTCATCGTCAGACTACAGACTAAACGAAGGCGATTTTAATTAGCCGGACGCGTGCCAAGAAATGTGTAAAAATATGATTTGTGAGCACTTTTTGTGTGCGTTTCTGTTGGGACGTTGGAACTGGGAGAGCACCGGCGGCGGATGTACACAGGAAATTTTGCGTTCAGAGCATTCAAACGGCGAGTCTTTGAATGAAAGTTATCTTTAGATATGGAAATCTCTGGATATTCTGACACCCTAAACAAATAAACCTAAGTCTAATTTGACCCAGTTTCGGGATTAATGAGCATTCTGTTGTCCGCCGGATAATCCCCGCACATCCATCCAACAGCAGAAAAATGCTATATGTACGTACATTGCTCCATTTCGCGGTAGCAGAACGAGAGAACTTGGAGCGTTGAATCGTCCGTGGGTTTCTCTTCGGCCACTGCCTGTAGACAGCCGTGGCTCTCTTCGTATCGTCCCAGCCGGAGCAGTGCCAGGCCCTTCAGAGCACGTGCACAGAGCATACTGGGATGCTTGCGTAGCAGCTTCTCCGATTCCTGCAGTGCCTTGCGGTTGTTACCCACCTCCAGATTGTCTACGAGTGGGAAGGGATTGTGTGTGTTATTATTAATTATTTATAATAAATTAATCTTGCACTCACCATAGATTGGGCGCAATCTACGCTCGAACAAGGCCGTATCCATGCCCTGATGCGCCATGATAGCCTTCTAATTATTTCACTCACTATTATGCTGCTGCTGCTGTGTTAACCTAATTACAACGTGCTACATGCACCACCTCGCACGCCGCCACACGCTTTTGACCGCCTTGAAATAATTTGCTTAGAATTTGCCGCACACACACGCTATTGTTGTTGCTGGTTTCTCTTCTGTCGAGTGTTTCCCACTGTTTTGGTTATTGCATTGCGGCCGGATAATGGCTATGTTTAAAAGTCACTCAATGGAACCCTAAGTATACGTTTAACTTCATGGAAATTAAATAATTTTGATTCAAAATTAAAAAAAAAACCATCTACAGCATGCATAGAGAAGTGGTGAGGGGGGTAACCGAGCGAACCTTTGGTATTTTTATGGTATTTTTGAAATGGGAACACGGCCGCAGCAAAGGTATTCTTGTAGGAGGTTTTTCGAAGATTTAAGTTGCCTTGAAACTGTTCGATAATACACTGTTAGATGAAGTAAACTTGCCACAAAATGTCACAGTCAATAGCCTGTAAATATATATACACCCACAGCAGGTTTAATATAACTTTGAATGACCTTACCACGCGACTCTGTGAGTTACATATCTAAACTGCTTACCGGAGTACCCCCATTGTGTGGTTCTGGCCAAACAGCTGACTGCTAGATATGACACAATGTGGAGTCACGCGGAGCGACTTGCAAGTGAATAATGAATTAACTGGAACAGTTTTCTCGTTTATTCAAGTGCTAATTTGTTAGCTTCACCCAAATATATGCACAAGGCACCTGACCAGCCTCCGTTAAGTGTTTTATAAATTGTACAAAACTTCGTGAGTCACGCACATGCCACGCATTCCCGAAGCAGGCCATCCCTAGTTGCTGCCCCCTGTTCGCACGTAGAAAATAATAAAATGCAGAGATAAGCCATATAATCGCCGCGCGGGGACAAAACCAAATTCATTTCAAGTATTAAACTACAAATTAAGCAGCCTCCATCCTAGTGTAATAGTTTTATTTAACGGCACCGCCTTTTTCGTCGCTCGTTTTCGCTTGGGTTCATTGTATGTCCATTTTTGGTGAATAATTTTTGCCAAAAACCTTCGCACCAATGAGAAATGAGATTTAATTGGTTGAGCGAATACTTGGCCGAAATCAGAAGCAACTTCGATTCAATATCGTCTCCCTGGAGGCAATTGCAGCTGCAGCAGCTCACTCCGCAAGCCATCTACTGCCGCATCAAGTCCACATCTGCCGAAGCGCTGGAGCACATAGTGATTGCATGTGTGGTATACTTGCTAGTATGCCTTGGCCTATACAAGCTCACCTTCTGGCTCTCCACCCCGTCAACGACGACCAACAACAATCGCCTTGGCGCTGGCAGCCATGGAGCGAATCGTGACAGGGAGAGGGACCGGGATCGGGAGGCGGGCAGTCTGAAGCAGATGCTGCAGTCTGGCCTGCGTTTGCGTAGCGTTCACCTGCCCAAGTCGGCGCAAATGGATCGGGTGCTACTGGTCACCGCCCATCCGGATGACGAGTGCATGTTCTTTGGCCCATTGATCTACTCGCTGACGCAACGCGACAACTGCCAGGTGTACATATTGTGCCTGTCCAATGGTGAGCATAGTTTTGCGCTTTTTGCGAGCGCAATAGGCCAAAAGAGTAGCCAAGAGATTTATGAGCCATCTTAATCAATATTACAATTGCTGTACAACAACAACAACAGGCAACTACGAGCAACAGGCGAAGCTGAGGCGGGAGGAACTGTGGCGGGCCTGCATAAAATTGGGCATTCCCGAGTCGAACATTGTGCTGATGAATGCCACCAACTTGCCGGACGATCCCAATGTCGAATGGCGGCCGGATGCGGTAGCGAGCCTGATACTCCATACCGTCGAGAGTCTCGACATACAGGCGATATTCACATTCGATCGCGATGGCGTCAGCTCGCATCCCAATCACTGTGCTGTCTACTATGCGGCGGCGTCACTCTGTTTGGCCAACCTATTGCCCAAAGGTAAGCGCGCGAGAGAGTGAGTCACGCGACGGGCATTCAAAACAATAGAAGGGGCATGTTAATTGCTATGCTAATTCTATAGCCCATCTATTTATAGCCCTTAATTATATATACATATATATAAATTTTATATAATGACATTTTTTATGTGTATCCCATACCAAATGCAGATTGCAAGTTCTATACCTTGGACTCGATCAATTTGGTGAGAAAATACCTATCCATCTTCGATTTGCTATGCACATGCTTCATGTCAACGCATTGGTATGATAAATGTGGTCATATATATGCATATAGTACACGGTTTAATCATTTATTTTTGTTGTTGTTGCACAGGTGTATACTCAGTTGGAAAGAGGCAGCGGTTGTGCGGAGTGCCATGCTGGAGCATCACTCACAGATGAAATGGTTCCGCTGGCTATATATCTACACATCGCGCTATATGTTCATCAATTCGATGCGCCAAATAAATCTCTCGGATGTCGAACTGGAAATGCAAATACATGACAACTAAAAAGTTACTTAAAAACGTTTTGAAAGTTAAATGAAATGAATTGTGGAGAAGCGAGCGAAAACACCAAAAGACAAAACTACCTTCAAGATGGGAGTTGTTTTCCTTTTTTTGTTTTGTTTTGTTTATAAATAGACTCTGACGATTCTACTAGTATAGCCAAAACACGGACTGTAGTGCACACATAATTGATATCCAATAACCCAGGGAACAACATGGAACAACCATAGACATACAATACGTAGGAGAAAGCGAAACCACAAGCAAAAAAAAAACAGTCCATTAAATTACGAGTAGTTTGTCTCACCAAATGGCATATCTTTATATCTGCATAATGCATAATTAGTTAGCTCTAATTCTTGATTATAAACCATTACCAATTATTATTTATACATACATACTCAACTCCAAGCAATGTTCCAAAGTGTGCGATATAGTCAAATGCTTACAAAACATAAAACTAAATTAAAGCTACCAATTATTATAATTGTTATTAGTTTCTTATTGATATTGATTATTAATTATTGTATTGATTCCTTCCTTAGCGCATACCACACACACTCACACACACACACACACACACACACACATTTCTAGTGAGCAAAAAACACATTTATGTTTCTTGTAAAATTGTAAAATAGTTTGTTGTAAGCAGCGAAGTACAATAATTTTTATAAATACTATATATGTATGTATTGTATACCTAACGATATATGTGAATGTATAAAATCTACTTATGAGCCCCACAAAGAGCGAAGCAAGAGAGAGCCACAGAGCCGAGCCGGAAGCGTTAATAGAAAATAATAGTTCATAGAAATGCTGTTAAACAAAAACAAATATTTTAATGGAATCATTTGCGAAGAACGCAAACTGCACCATTTTTAATGGATCAAAACGCAAACACTTTTAGTAAAATGCGAAGCGATTTTTGTTGCAAATTTCAAATATGTTGTTTTTTTTTATTTTTTATTTCTAGTGAAAAAAAATGAATACTGAATTTAATTTCGAATTTTGAACCGGGTCTTGTACACAAGAACTGATTTAATGTCTAGCTAATCGTCGACTTGTTTTACTCTTCGTCTTCTCAATATCCTTCGGCCAGTATCGGCCTCCGAGCAATTGACTATTATCTTCTTAATGCCCGTATTGGACTCGTGCTGGGCTTCCTTAAAGGCCTCACCCACCTGCGTTATGGGATAGGTGTTGCCAATTAATTTGCGCAGAGGCGCCAGCTTGGTGGACAGCAGCTGCAAGGCAAGGGGATACCTGCAAAAGGGCATGCAAAATGGAAATTATCAAACAATTGCTAATTACTAATTGCTTTGTTTCACTCACATATTGGCATAGCGAAAACTGGGCCTCATTTTGATGTTTTTCATCAGCAGATCTACGGTATTGAAGCTGGCCACCTCCGATGCACATTCGGCCAGCACACAAATGCCGCAGGGCTTCAGCGCCACTATGGCCAGGTTCATTGTCTGTTCGGAGATGGCAAAATTGATGACCAAATTGGGCCAATCTTTGCCCTGGCTGTAGATGGACTCCAGCACCTCGCTGTACAGTCCATTCGAGTCGTACTGCACACAATTGAGTCCAAATTGATTGGTGGCCATTTCCAGTGTTGAATTCATGGTGGTGGCAATTGTCACCTGCTTGGCATTGAGGGTTTTGGCCACCAGACCCGCCGCTATTGTGGTGGGACCCGAGCCAATGATGAGCACATTGCTGATGGGCAATATTTCACCCTTTAGGCAGGCGGCACAGGCGGCGGCAAGCGTCTGGATGAGACTGCCCTCCTCCATGGTGATGTTCTTGGGCAGTCGATGGCAGAGATCGGCATGATGGATCTGATGGGTGCCCAGAAAGCCCTTGTACCACAGTCGCTCACACATTTGGTAGCGGCCCTCCTTGCAGAGATCACAAAAACCGCAGGTAATGGTCGCCTCACACACCACACGATCACCCAATTGTAAATTCTGTACACAGGAGCCCAGCTCCTCCACAAATCCCGTGGCCTCGTGCCCCAGCGACATGTCCTTCATGTCCTCATTGCCGTTCTCATAGATGTGAATGTCCGAGCCGCTGAGTGCCACAGAACCCACACGGATGAGCGCCTCTAAAGGGGGCAGATGAGCGTGACTGAGGGAGGGTAGGATGCTCTACTTACCATACTCCTTGGGCTGGGCTAATGGTAATTCCAGCATCTCGATGTCATAGCGTCTGGGAATATTGATCATATATCTGGTGCGATCGTCACCGAGTTCTGTCTGGGGCTGGCAGGAGAACTGCCTGCGCTGCCACTGGGCCGGGGCCAGGGCAGCGAATTGGTCCGGAGCAAGCCATTTATTTCCTTCTACCTTTGGGTGTGAGAAAATCTCAATCAGAGTTAGAAGTATTCCCCCTAGACTGTGTACGCACCTTTGCCGGACTTGTTCTTATTGCCGCCCTTCTTCTTTTTGCTTTTGTCGCATTTCTTGCGCGGGAAGCGCACCTTGGCACAATTTCCGGTGCAGAAAATCCTGGGGCATTCCTCGCCATCGATGTAGCAATCGGTGCGTGCCTTGGTGCGCGCCTTCTTGTCCTTGCCACGGTTCAGGGGGTATTTCTGCTCCAGCACCGCGCACTTGCCACCATCCTCCTTCTTGCCATCCTTCTTGCCCTTCGCATAGCCACGCTGCCACGTGGTGGCATCGCCAGCCGTCAAGCCACAGAGCTGCGTTTTTGTCGGCTTGCCGCCATAGTGACGGCGCACGAGCGTCGAATAGATTAGATAGCGGCAAGGAGTTGCCGCACGGCTAGAGTAACGGACCGGCGGCGCTCCTGCCGCCTGGCGGGACTCATGAAGCTGGCACACAGAATCGGCGAGCAAGGGACTGGCGCAGGTGGAGTACTTTTTCTTGCAGGGATCATTCTTCTTTTTGTCGTCTCCGCCTTTCTTGAACTTTGCGCACGGGTCCTTCTTCTTTTTGTCGTCCTTTTTGCCGCACGGGTCCTTCTTCTTGGCGCACGGGTCCTTCTTTTTTTTGTCGTCCTTTTTGCCGCACGGGTCCTTCTTTTTATCGCCGCCCTTCTTGAACTTCGCGCAGGGATCCTTCTTCTTTTTGTCGTCCTTCTTGGCACACGGGTCCTTCTTTGCGCCGGACTTGAACTTCGCGCACGGGTCCTTCTTCTTTTTATCGTCCTTCTTGGCGCACGGGTCCTTCTTTTCGCCGGACTTGAACTTCGCGCACGGGTCCTTCTTCTTTTTATCGTCCTTCTTGGCGCACGGGTCCTTCTTTTCGCCGGACTTGAACTTCGCGCACGGGTCCTTCTTCTTTTTATCGTCCTTCTTGGCGCACGGGTCCTTCTTTGCGCCGGACTTGAACTTCGCGCAAGGATCCTTCTTCTTTTTGTCCTTGCCGCCGTCCTTCTTGCCGCACGGGTCCTTCTTGGCGCACGGGTCCTTCTTTTTAGCGCAAGGATCTTTCTTCTTCTTGTCGTCCTTCTTGCCACAGGGATCTTTCTTCTTGCCGCCATCCTTCTTGAACTTGGCGCAAGGATCCTTCTTCTTTTTGTCGTCCTTCTTGGCGCACGGGTCCTTCTTTTTGGCATCCTTTTTGCCACCACACGAAGACTTGCCACCACTGGCCCGTATCTGGGTGGCATTCAGCGAGGCCTTCTTCTTTTTCGATTTCTTGTCGCCCTTCTTCGGGCGCTTGCACTTGTCCTCCTTGCAGGGATCGCCCAGCGGGCACTTCTTCTTGCACTTCTTCTTCGGCTTGATGACGCCATGCTTGCAGCCATCGCGCAGCATGGGCCCCTGGAACTGCTCCTCGGGCTCCGCGCTGCCCGACCGGACCTGCAGTGGGGCTGCTGCCGCCGTTGTCTGCTTCATGTGCTTCTGGGCTTGGGCGCGATTCAGAGCCGTGTGGGCCTGCGTCGATATCTTGGGCAGCTCCCGCTCCTGCTCGGGACTCAACGACTTGGCAATGGCGGCCACTGTCATGGCCGGATCCATTTGCTCGACGGCGCACAGTTCTTGCTGCAGCTCCGATAGCCTGGCGGCATACTGGTTCTTCAGGGCCGCCAGCTCCTGGTCCGTCATCTCCGACAGCTCCTTGTCGCTGAGCTCCGCCGGTGTATCGATCATTGGAGCCTGCTGGAACGTACTCTGATCGACACACATCCCATTCTCGAGGGCAGCGCTGCACAAATTGGCCGCCAGCGAGGTGACATCGTCATTGAAGTCCGGCACCTGATCCTCGGTCATGCTCTGCAGATCCAGCTTCTTCATGTCCACATTGACGACGCCCGCGATCAGGGCATTGAAATGCAGCGGCACTGTGTGATCGGGCAGACCGGGCGTGGCCAGCTCCACACGTGTGTTCATGGACACCACGGGACTGTTGGGCATCAGCGCCTGGCCGCCCGTTTGCTTGCACTCGATGGCATCGCGCACATTGGTCATGTCCATTTCGAAGGACAGCTCCATGGAGGAGATGGCCAGGTCGTTCAGGCGATCGCTCAGACTCCGGGGCACGGAAATCTTCACGCCCTGCAGGTCATCACCTCCGAGGGTCTCCAGCTCGGCAGCATCGATGGCTGGTTCAAGTTGGGCCAGCACTTTGCTGCCTGCCTGCGGCTGTGCCTGTACAGGGTCCTGTATGGGCAGCGTCTTGGGCAGGGGCTGTGCATTGTCCTGCGGCTGCGGCTGCTGCTGCGGCTGCGCTTGCTCTTCGCTTTCGAGCTGCACCTTGGGCTTGGCCTGGGTGTGCGCCTTTGCCTGATCCTGCGTCTGTACCTTGGGCTGCGTCGTGGTCGGTAGTCTTGCTGGTGTGGCTGTTGGCAGGCTGGAGGTTGTCACATTGCCGTCCAGCATGGCACCCGTGGCACCCATTGCCTGCTGCTCGTGGGCTGCGGCAGTGCCCCCCAGTTGCGCTGGGCCCTTGGCAATGGCATCGATGTCCATATCCGCTGCGCTTGGCGCTGTGGTGTATGACTGCCAGAATTCTGCATCCTCTGCGGCGGGTGGTTGCTTCTGTTGCTGCTGTTGCAACTGAGGCTGAGGCTGCTCCTCGGCTGCTGCCTCTGGTGCTGCTGTTGCTGCAAGTTCATTCGTGTGGGCTGTTGCTTGACTGTTCGCCTCCCGCATCATTGCATTGAAGTCGTCCACCATGCTGCTGGAGAACGCGTCGATTTCATTTGCGTATTTTCTCAGCTGATTGATGCTCGTCAGCGTTTCCTTCAGTTCGTTGGCATTCATGCCGGCTATGTCCAGCGGCACAATTACTATCTTCAGGTCCTTGCCATCCTTCTTCTCCGGCGTGATCAGGCCAATGGGTATGACACTCTGCGCGCCTTCCGGTCCGCCGGGTGTGCCCGAGAAGCTGATGCGCTTGCGCAGCATGTTGACTCGGCCATTGAAGGTAAACACCTTGTTGGCGGCACTCTGCGAGTACAACTGCACTCGCACGCCGTCGCTGCAGTTGCAGTTGAGCACTTGGAGCGGCGTCGCCGGGAAGCCGATCCGCTTGAGTCGCCTTGCCCGCTCATTGAGCAGAAAGCGCGGCCGGAACACGGGCGAGTGGTAGCTGATGCATCGGGTGATCTGTGAGAGACACGGCGTAAGGCATTTAGATTGACTTCTGGCTGTTGGCTTTATCCAGCCGAGAATGCCGGACATTTCGCGTCTTCGTGTTTCGTTTTTAACTCAAAAATTTTGTTTCTATTTCAACCAAAACTTCACATTCAAAATTGACATTTATAACGGATACGAAAAATATTTTTTGTGGATTTTGATTTTTGAAAAAAATAATTTTTGTATGTCTGTGTTTACAGTTTAGTGTGCACAAGCCGAATGAGAATCAGGGCCCCCAATGACATCTGTTCTGTGTAGCCGAACAGCAGGATGGCCTACTCGGATCGATCCTCTTGCTACACAAAGTTTCGTTTAAACGATAAATTGTCTGGGATCGTTAGTCGAATGATTCTAATGCGTTTTAAGCATTTTTCCCTATCAAATGTATTCGCGTATATTTTTTACCCTACGTTTCGTTACACCAGAGACTGCTTCTATGTTTAGAAGCACAGGAGAAGGAACGTTGTGGGCCGCGGCGAATGCCGCGCCTCTTCTTTTTACTTCTTCAGATTTTAGAAAATTTTAGCTATTTCCGTTTTAACGCTATAGTTTTTTAATTCCTCTATATGGGGTCGGAAACGTTTGTATGCAAAACAAATGTATCCCTAAACTCTTTGAGTACTGGGTATTAAAAGGAAGGTGATCTTTATGAGACGTTGCTTGCAATAATTTCCTATTAGGAGCCGAGGGACTCGATGATAGTGCTCCACTTAACAAATTTCAATTGTCCTTAAATTTAGTTTCGTTCTAGTTTTACTCGCTAGCTAGTGACGTGTAACGCTTAGTTTTATATATATATGTTTGCTTCTTTTTTATGCCTACCTATACGCGAGTTATAAGTGTCATTCAGCAGCGTTCTGTCGTTTGGGAGGTAACTTATAACGTTTTGGCCTGGGCTTGGTGTTGCTTGGGCAGTTAAACTGTGCAGTCAGATACGTTTTAATACTAGCAAAACAGTAGGTTTTTTTTTAACAAAAACTTGTTTTTCGTTTAAACTTTTTAATGGCAGTCAAAGATGTATATGATGCTCGTAATAGACTGATCTGAACGATTCCAACTTATATACCTTACAGAATGACTGAAACAGATAGCACATTCCCCTAGGGCAGAATTTTTGACTGCTTTTCGATCTAGACTGTAGAGAAACCCGAACTTGAAGACCTCTATTGTATGATCGGAGACCGACATGTGGATCCTACTAAGTACTTCACGATCGATTCTCAAATAACTACGGATCGGACTTATACCCCACTTAAAAATATAACCAGGACCAGCTTTTGGAGGCTCCAAATTCCCGACTGCGGCTATTTTTGTCTAAGACTTCCAATATCGAAAGTGTGCGCCTCGTCTCACATACGACCCGGCCGATCTTAAGGTCTAAAGCCCTGTACATACCGGAAGATATCAGATATCTGAACTTTCTTATCACAACGAAGTTGTCCCAAGCATTATTGATCGTGTGTGCAAGTGTCAGATATTATTTTTGGGCTGGACTCACATGAAATAGGTGCGACATCTTGCACAACAGTCGCATTATTTACTGAAGACCTTTCAAACTCATAAATCTAATATAAAATGAACCAAAAGAAAAATGAAATTTTGAATTTATTTTAAATGTATATTTCTAAAAGTTGTGTTGCTTGGAAACGTTAACCTAAAACTAAAGTTGTTCAGAGCACATACATATATATAATGGCATGCTACGACAAGAATTTCCCTTGAAAAGTTCCCTAATACAAAGTCCAGTAGATAAAGCAGGCTCTGGAAAGTAAACTTATTGTCTTAGTCGACCAATCCAAAGCTCTCTTAACGATACTGGCAGACAGAGAGAGAGAGAGAGGGACATCTCTCGTACCTCATAGAACTGGCATTTGGTTGGTTGTGGTGGGGGGGCCGCCAAATGCATATTGAATTAAATTTTTGAGTACAAACAATTGCTTGGACATTTGCCGCATATTAATTGGCCATTGAACGGGCAAGGTGGGCACTCGTCACCCACTCACTGTTTTGTTGGTCACCCAGTGCCAGATTTCAGTTCAATTTGTGCGTTTGCTGGCAGCGGTTTCGGTTTCAGTTTCAGTTTCGTTTACATTTTCAAGCCTGTGTATTCCCCCATTGACAAAATGTCGCGATTGTCAAGCTCCACATATAGTTCCATTTGTTTTTTGGTATTTCTGCATGTAAGCATCGTCATTGGGAAGGTTTTTTCGAGGTGTCAACGGGGAACTAGATGTTTCGGAAGCTTCTTGAATTATTGTTGAATCATGGGTCAATGGGTCAAGGATTTAGTAACAGAGGCTTAACAGGCCTGTGCTCCATTGTTACCTTTGCAGTTAATTTAAATGGATCTTTCTCTTGCTCTGCACAGATCCTCCACTTCTCCAGAGCCCCTTTATTCTTTTCCATTGCATTTGATTCATTTCCAAGCCCCATTGGGGTTGCCCTTGGTTCTAGATCTATAAAGCAGAATGCAAGCCCATTCTAGGCACCAAAGGTTCCTTCTGTTCTGTCCCTGCATCAGCAGACCTACTCCATAAATCCCTCAACAATTTGCAGTTATGTCAGAACCATTTCAAGGTCTACGTCTCAGTCTGTTGCCAAAGTACGAGGAGATCCGTGGAGCATATAGAATGCCTCATTAGTGTGATCATATTCAGTATTCATACATTTATGGATCGTCATTAAGCGCCAATTAATATTTCCATGTTTCCTGTGTCCGTACAGTTCGTGCTGTTGCTGCTGCTGACGACGACGACGACGACGTACGGAAAGCCAGCTAGCGGCAGTCAGGCCAGCAGCAAGACGACTACCACCACTCCCGCTCCCGCTCCCGATCAGAGCAATGGGATGGTGCACGTGGCCAGCTATGTGAACCAGAAGCGGACAGCCGGAGCGCGAGAGGAGTTCGACTTTGAGCAGAACGAAGCGGAGGCCACGAATTCCGCGCATGTGCGGCAGCTGTTCGGCAGTCTGCTGCTGCTGCCCGGCAGCGGCAACAAGAGCCTGGAGGTGACCCTGGAAACCCTCGACGATGAGCCGGTCAGTGAGCGAAATACTTTGGATGATCTGAATCTGGAGACGGCCAGTGAGCAGCACGAGGGTGCCACTGAGTCGGCCGATAACTGGAGTCGCATTAAGTTGGCCATTCCCGTCCTGGAGCCGGTCAAACATCTGATAAATGCCGTTGGCGGTGGCGGCGTCAACGATACGCATGTGCGCACCAACTCGCATCGTCTGATTGGGCATCATGGTGTCCATCACTCGCCTCATAGCGGCGGGGGCAACATTAGCTCGCCGGCCATCGAGACGGAGGAGGACCGTGAGACGGCCATAGACAGCACCGGGTTCGATGTGCTCGAGACACTTGGATCGGCTGGAACCGTGCTGTGGGGCATCCTTCAGAATCTGAGGAAGCTGTTTGCGGCCAGTGCTGGAAATGCCAGCGCCTCCTCTTCCGGCGGTGGCGGTAATTAGATGTCGCTGGAGGGAGTTGCGCGGGGCTGGGCTTGTGGTCTGTGATTAATATTAGCGATAAATTAATTGAGTTTCAATTATATTTGATACGTACTAATAAAGTAAACGAATTATGATAAATTGAGTACAGAAGGGCACTTTTATTTGGAGCTTAAAATACAAATTCCAAATTCAAAAGAACGTTTTATTTTCTGAAGCACTACCTGATCGATAGAAAAAGACAAATTTCAGCTGTCTGGTAACTCCCCGGCTATACATATCGATAAATCGTTGGCAGCGCTGCCAGATCGTGACAGAAAGACTCTCCTCTTTAACGCATAAATGAGTTCTTGTCAGAAACCCATTACGTTTGCCGTATGTTATTTGTTAAAGATCCCAGTCAGTTTGATAGAAATTGGGAATGAACAACCAAACTTAAAGTTCCAACTGGATTTTAGGCAGCGCTGCCACATAGATAGAAAAAGATATGTCTAACAGCTGTTTAGCTTGGTGTTTTCCCTGTTCCGTTTTGTGCGTCTTGTTCGGTTGCTGTTTTCCCTGTTCCGTTATGTGCATTCGTTCGCCGATTTTACAACACGACGGAGGTTGTGTCGCTGCTCCGCGTTGTTTTCGTCTAAAAACTCGTAATAAATACACGAAACACACTAGAAAAATTCTAAAAAATGCTAAACAATAGTGGAAAGTGAGTGGAAAACAATTTGAAACGAATATCAAAGATATTTTCGTAATAACAGAGGTTTTGTTGTGTTGCCCGTCCGACTGTCACGCAGAATGCGCGTAGAAAGACAGAAAGCGCGCTAAAGGCGCGTGGAAACGCACAAATACACAAAAATGTAAATAAATAAACGTGCAGAGTGTTAAAAGTTGTGAATAGTTAAGATAAGCCTACGCCTGGCCCTTAAAAGTAAGTAAATTGGTTACAAATTGCCAAATTTGCCTGTGACCATCGGAAGTCGAACAGCTGTTTTGTCTCTGTGCGTTCAGGGTATATTTTGAAGAAGGTATGCCATGGCGGCTGTGCCGCTCTGTGGGATTCCTAGTTTCTGGGACACTCTCGATCTTTAGATCTCTTCGGGACGCGCAAGACATGTGTAAAAGGTTACAATCATATAATGTTGAGTCCCGGCTAGTTTTCTTAACAATCGGACGCACGAAAACCGGTTGTGGTGCACTGTAATAGCGCTTATTCCATGATCATAAGTCATATCCTGTGATCTGGGAGAGGGGTTCTCTGCAACCCTACCCCTACAGTCTCTTTAACAAAGCTTGTCTTTTCTACTGCTTTGTGTTTGTTTCGCAGAAAGTTCAGCATTTCCCTTCGTTTATTTGTTGGTTTATTCACTAAACTGTTGAGCAATTACCTAATTCTATTAGTATTCTCTTTACCATTGGCTTTTGACGTCAGACGCGGATCAGATCTGCCTTTAAAGTTGGCTAATAGCTAAACAATGAGTGTGTGTGTGTGTGTGTGCCACTCCATTAGCATCTGGCTGGTGAGCGTAGCACTTATTGCCTTTCAGGTGGTGGCGTGCACCATGTGTCCACGGCATGCACCATGTGGTATTGCTGCCCAGCAACTTGGTTTTCTGGCATCCGTTGACATTTGTAATGCTCTCAGTCTTTTAGCCACAATTTGTTTATAACCAATTGCATTATTATTGGCTGCAAAAAAGCCGCGATGAGCAATGCACAGCAGCAGGAACTGGACCGGCCTACATGTGTCAGTAGTGCCTACTCCAAGCAATGGAGAAGTGTTTTCCGTTTGGGCGTCAAACAGACTGCTTAGCCGGCGAGTCGGGCGGTTGGCGTCTGCCGCCTTCTGATTTCTGCCTCTGCGTTTTTATATTTGTTTATATTTGATACATTTCCCTTAAGAGAGCGTTGAGCAGCTATGAGATTGTGTTGGCATTAAATAAGAGATATCAGATGTTTACTTCTTTAATAGAAAGGTTTTCCAGAAGGCACACGAAGTGGAGGAAAGAATTTAAAGACATCTAAGGCAACAAGCAGTAGTAATAATAGTAATAGGAACATCCAAGAGAGAGAGAGAGAAAGGCTGCGAATCTTGTTCCTTTTATCATCAAGCAGTGTTCTTATAGGTAAAAGCAGTAACGGGAGCTTTTAAGCAGTAAAAAGATCATCAGTGCTTTTAAGCAGAGAAATCCGGATACTGATATGATTTTTCATTCCGCTATTTTCCTCGCTTAAATTGGATATACATACATACATACGCAACTACTCGACATTGTCATTTTTCAGGGTATCCAATATTTTATGCTTCGCAAACAAACCAGTTTCTCTTTTATTTCCCCATCATAATTCTTGATTTATGGCCTTTATCTTTTTGCTGTACATTTATCAGAGATTTCCCACACAAATGAGGCACAGTTTTGTTTTGTTGTTTTGCTTTTTCCAATCGCAACGCAAATCTGCCCAACGCCTTCTCATCAATATTTTTTCCAGTGATTTTTCAATTAAAAATGAGCCATAAAAACGTCTGAAAAATCTTTATAATTTTATTATTGTGGCAATCTGGCATAAAACGACAAATTTGTATAGTTGTGTAATTATAATTATAGAAATTCTTATCGTCGCAAGTATTTTTTGTCTAAGATTTGTTTGATTTATTTGTGTTTGTTTTATAAAGAAATACTTTAACCTACTGCCGGCGGCATTTGCCCGATAAGAAGCGAGACATTATAATGGATTGTTTATCGTACCCAGAAGCACTTCTATATATTTATTTCCAACTAATTTAAAATTTACTTTACTCTCTTTACAGCGCTACTGAAAGATACAAGAAAAATCCCCCATTTTCAACGAAGTGACACTGATGGTCGAGGAAGGATTTTAGAACTGTTTTTTTTATTCGTGGTCTTATCGGACAGCAACTGGAACTATGTTTGAGTTGGTCTCACCAGCGATTTGTGTGTGGCTGCGGTTCGCCGATAACCGATTGGATTCGATTCGATTCTTGTCATCGATGTCCTAGCTCTAGTTCTAGTTAGGTTGTGTGTTCGCGGTGATCCTTTGGGTAATGGAACATGCATCCCGGGGATATGCATAAAAACGTTTCAGTACAAGTTGATAGTGATTTTGCCTTATTGCTACCCAGCGGTGTTTATGAAATCAAGAAAATGGAACCACGCTCCAAAATACGAAAAATCATTGTGTTCTGTTTATTCCTCGCCATCGCAGGCATCATTGGTTTTGGATACTTTTGTCAAGATCAGGTAAGTCTTGCCTTCTAATTCCTTTCCCATATATATACGTATACGTATAAATATATATTTTATCCTTATAATTAATTCCTACTTCATCGGCAAGACATAAATTTCTCTTCTCTGTTTTTCTGGTTTCCCTTCTTCTCTGCCTTTGGCGCCAATGCAAATGAGATTCTCCATCCACCCTACTCCACCGAAAAAAAAACCGCTGAAATTTCATAATTTATATATTGGTTGTTTGCATTTTTATTGAAATTATTATTGACTGTTTTTTTCCCCCGGTTTTTGGGTTGAAACTCGTTTTTGCAATGCTCACCGAAAAAATATTTATTAGCCTCCCGGCGTTTTGTTTGGAATTTTGTTTCTAGCTTTTCTCTAGGCAGATTTTTTTTTATTATAATTTATATTTTTTATGTTGACTGTTTTTCATGACTTTGTGTACTGTGCGCTCGTCTATTTGTGTCTATTTCGGTAGGCTTTAATTAGAAAACGAAAACAAAAATGTTTTGCTTACAATCTTTTTGGGGTTTGGCGCCTACGAAATACGAAAAATCTCATTCTAATGTAATGTTTACGCTATAGAACTTTTGGCCTCATTGGGCAATACATTGATCTGTAATACGATTAAGAAATGGAATATAAATTTTGATTGGAAATGTATTTCTCATATGAAAGAGAGAGTTTATGCATGAGGAAATCGCTGTAATTTGTGTCAGAAATAGAATGTAAACTGGATGAGGAATTACCCTAATATAGGAGATGGATGAGCTGTAATTTAGATTGGGAAATCCAGTAATATTATGGGGAATTAACTCTTACAGAAGTGGAAATTTTTGTGGTTTTATTGGTAAGGAAAATAACCGATACAACGCTATAATATAATTGAGAAATTATCTAATAACTTCCAACGGTGCTATTGATGCTTTATAACAATAATTTGATGGGGAACTTCCCTCATAATATATGTACAGAGCTTTTATAAATATTCTCTAATATTATTGGGATTGCTCTGGTTCAAAGTAAAAATATAAATGAAATAACCCTCATGAAGTACTCATGGGGAAGTTCTCTATAATTATTGGGATAGTACTCTGACAGAGACGTCTCATTTTACTGCAAAAGTTTTCATATATGTATGATTATTCATTCCTTCACGCTGCTTTAATTTGATTGGGTAATCGTTTTCTAGCTCAGTATTCTGTAATCAGTGTAACCCATAACACACGCTCTTGATTGAAATTTGTCTAATCTGTAAGACTAATAAGTCGCTGCCCTACACAGCAATCTCGTACTCTCCACTCCCAACAGCCCTCCCCACACGAATATACAATGATTTAATGGGTGAGGTGTAAAGTGCATTCAATGGCCATAAAAATAAAGCCCCCAGACGACAGAACAGCGAACATTAAATGCTACCCCTGGGGACCCATAAAGCCTCCCTGCCAGACCAGACCCAGACCGGTCTTGGCTCAACTTTGGATACGATATCTATAAGTATTGCCTGTGAATATGTAAATTTCCACAATTAATCTCTAGGCCGTTGGAAAATCATCTCTAATATTAGCCCCCCTTCCGATATAAATTCATTCGAACAGATCATAAATTTCCAAATGCAATCTAACGTTGGCTGCTTCCATCAAAGCGTATAGGAAAAATACTTTTATCATTTTATACATATATACTCGTGCCTATCTTTGCCTGTTTGATTTGGTCTATATATGTATGTGGATAGATGTGTTTTGCCTACCAAACGTTAAGGAAAAAATCCATGTGGGCGTGACTTTTGCAAAATGAATTCAATGTCAAATTTCTGTCTACATCTTTTGAGTGAAACATATTTATTGTGTAAAAATGGTGACAGAGGAACGATGTGAGAAATTCTTTGGAACCCAAGTAAATATTATTAATTGCCAAATATAATTGTATTTACATTACTGGCCACAAAATACCAATATAAGTCATACTTAAAGTCATAATTTTGTGAGAAATACGCAACCAATCAAGAGGATTTTCGGTAGATAGCTAGCTAATAGCTACTTTGAATAAGCGTTTTTTATCATTAATATTGGAAAAGCAAAAGTCATTTAGTTTTTATGATATCCATAATACATATATATATAATAAGTGCCTATTCATCATTGTGATTCATTATTTTGAGATGAAAGAGTTTTTAGTACATATAATGTTCCCAGTCTCTACCGTCTCTGCCTCTATTTCTCTCTCTCCCAGTGTGGCTTTGCTGAAAATATATCCATATATCTTTCATTTAGGCAATTGGCGAGTGGTTTTCTCTCCGTATTAATACCAAATATACGTGCAAGTATCTCCCAAATTGAAACCATGAGCAAAGTGACATTAATTGAGCACAGCTGCGCCTGCCACCAGCACTCCCCCTGCACGCCAGGCACACTCCCCTCCCATGCGGCACGCGATCTTGCCAGACATTGCGACTGTGGGCCATGCCACGCCTGACGCTTGACGCTGCCGTTCATTCCTCCGCTCAGTGCGTGCCGCTGAAAAATTCGCTGTTATTTTTTGTTGTTGTTAAAAATAGCTTAATTAGTTGTACGCGCCAGGCCAGAGGAAAACAACATACTTAATGAAATGTGTGGCGAAAGCGAAAATGAAAACGAGAATGGGACTGGGAACGAAAACGAGAACGAGAACGACGAAACTCTTGTATTGCGTGTGTCCCAATGGATGGGAAGACATAGTATTCCATTACTCAGAGATGACGAGGTCGTCGCGTCGTATTTTCGGGGGTGTATTCAGATTTGTGCTCTTAATGGGCCATGGCCGCCGAGCAAGTTGCACATAAATTACTTCTGTGGCTACCGCGACGCTGATGTGTTTTATTCTAGGAATATTCCACTTGAACTTGTACTTGTATTTTTGTTGTTTTTTTTTTTTTTGGTTTTGATTAATTGCTGGCGATTTTTTAACGATTTTTGACATTGGAATTTGTTGTGTTTGTGGCACTGGATGTTGCTCCTTTTTACTGCTAAGCTACACAGGAAGAGAGCTGAAATACAAAATACAAAGTAGAGATACAAAATATTCGAATATTTAAGAAGTGCTATGAGCAGAGGAAATACCTATACTCTAGTTATAATTTCCATTCCAAATAAACCTTGAACATAGCTCTGCCACATGTTAGAACCCTGTCGTCCACTATTCTAGGGTTTCCCTCGTTGCATTCCAAATGAAATTAAAGTGTAAACCTAATCCGATATCCCCCGGAATGCCCGCAACCTACTAGAGGTAAACCCTTCCGTAAATGTGTAAACTTTATCAGGCACTAAACAATAAACAAAATCATCAACGACTTTTACTCTGAATAATCAATAGGTTACCTCCACTCTCCGTTTAATTTAGTTTTTATTTATTTCAGTTTATGCAAATTTCTAGAGGGGATCGCTTGAATATTTATTTACTCTCGATAAAGAGTCATTAATTAAATGCCGTCTGCCAGCCGAGTCGAGTGGTTCGAGCTGTTTGTTTGAATTGTTGTTTGAGTGAATTATTTTGTGGTAAGAGGATTGTGTCTGACTGTCTGATTGCTGGCTGCTGTTGTGACGTCCAAAATACGTTCGAATCCCGCTTTTGTTAGCGTAATAATATTCCCAAAAAGCGAGTCCAAAGTTCAATTGCAGGTGTGTGTATGTGTGCTTTTGTTTGTTGCTTTTTGGTTTTTCTCTGATTGGATAAACAAGGAAAATGTTTATCATTTTGTGGAACTTTCATATTTTGTTGCCCCGAATTTTCCAGCAATTTACAAAGCATAGCTAATGAAATGAAAAACTATTTATGACTTTTTTGTTGGCTGTATCTGTGTCTGTATCTCTGGTTTTGTGTGTGTTTTCTGTGATTGTTTTTTCTCCAAAAATTTATAACCACAATGAAAATGTTTTGTTTTTAGTTTTTACCAACGTTTTGTCCACATATTTGGTTGTATTTTTGGTTGAACTTTTACCCCCCATAAATGTAGAATATATATCCATGAAATTCCTATATTTATACTGAAATTTTATGGCTCTATTAAAACTGCACAACACTTGCCCCGCGACTACAGATCGTGCCAAAAACTTTGCCTCATAAAATGAAAACACACGCACACATTTCTGTACTTATTTGTCTTTTGTGTTTTAACCATTTTATTAGCCAAGATTTGTGCCCTGCTGCTGCATTCGTGCATGTCTTTTTATGGCTGTGCTAATCAATTTCATTGAGTGTTGGGACTTGTAGATTTATACGCACTTTTTATGGCTTGTCCGGAATATCTTCTCAGATTTGTCAGCATAAATTTTAGGAAAGTTTTTTTTTTCGAGTTAAACAAGGAAGCCCCTGCTGTTTCTTAAATGTCTCAATTACATAAAGTTCTGGGGTTTAAGAAATTTATTATGTGGTAGATGAGTTTTATCACTAATAAATCTTTGATATGTTGAACTTCTAGACTCTAGTCAATTTTCTTAGAAATTCCCACTAGTTTCGTGTCAAATAATTTTATTCATTGCGTTGTTTGATCAAGATTAGTTTTGATGGAATTTCCTGGCAGCTACAACACTTGGCCACATAATCAATTAGCATTAATATGTACGGCTGTCATGTGACGTCTTCATTAAGGCCTCCCCAAAGACCAGTAGCAAGCAGCAGCAGCAGAAAGAAATAACAAAGAAAACCAACAGAAACCCGCAAAAACCACATAAAGTCCAGACCAATTAAACTATCAGCAAATCTGAAAGCAAGAAAAAAGTAAGAGAAATATGCCCGCACATGCCATAGAATGGAGTAAGGGTAAGGGTAAAGACATAACTCAAACCGCACATGTCATAAAGAATGATGAGAGTGAGAGGATGCCAGAGAAGGCAGCGTGTGCCCCCCGTGGCGGCACTTTTATGTAGGTCTCTCTCTCTCTCCCTCTCTCTTTCTCTCTCTCTGCCTCTGTGTCTAATGAATTTTGGTGATTTCCAAAAAAGGCCAAACAAAAGACAAAAGATCAGGCAAAAGCCAAAGCCTCAGCATTATTCACGCCTGTTTGAAGTTAATTCGTGCGCAAAAGATCCAAAAACAAAAACACAAAAAATAATCAGATATAGCCGCTACACTCTTTGACCGTCTCTGTCTCTCAAAAAAGGATGCATATCCCCCTCCTGCAAATTAGCCAAAAACCCCAAAAAAAAAAAAGAAAAAGAAGAAACCCGTTGACTGGTTTAGCTTTTCTTTTTGATAAAAGTTTTTTGATAGCCCCGACGATTCTTGACGGATGCGCCCGGCTGTGTGGCGGCCCCGAAGAAGGTGCATGTGAGAGGGTAAACAGGTTTCTTTTTTTGTGACCGTATGTCTGGGGCAAGCTATAATTTTCGTGTGTGTGCCTTGTAGGGTATGTGATGGGGAGGCTGATGTCTGCGTGAACATGTCTCGGATGGCACATGGTCAACAGGTTTCAGAGTGAGGACTGACTTTCAGATGTTTTTAAAATTAAATTATAACATTCCCCAAAAAAATAAACTTAAAACAAAAACCATTATTTTCAAAAGCAATATGAAAAATTATAATTTTTGTTTTTAAAATTATTTTGATTTAAACATATAAAATCATCCCGAACATTTTGGTAATTTTTGGTACCATTTTTATACAAAAACTGGCTTAAATTATAAATATAAATCATATGGTAAAATTTTTTGGTTTATTTTTTCACACAAAAGTAAAGGGTATCCCCGTAGTCGCCTCAGAAGCTTTCGCCGAGGCCTTCTCTTTTATTGAATCACTTCACCGCCCGGGCTCTGCTGATGTTTTGAAAGCGCTGTAAACTGATAGCCGTTTATGATCTTAAATGGCAATGCAGGTAGATAGGAGGAGGTGCCCTGCCCTGCATTGCCCTCTCTCTCTCTCTCTCTGTCTCTATGTTTATGGGTTTTTTAATGCCTTTAGGACTGTTCATCAAAGGGGATCAAACGCTTTGCAAGCGGCATCATCATAGTAATGATAATAATTTGGTACCAACAAATAAACCATTAAATCGAGTTTACTAACTGTTTTTGCCTCACTCTGATGGCTTAGAATTTATTTAAATCCATTCAATGGGTAGCCCAAATATTTCAATTGTTGATGCCCGCTAATGTCAATATCGATTTCAATTGGTTACATTTTCGGCTAATTATTTCCCTTAGTAACAGCTGTGTGTGGAGTGGGTGGCCTGCATTTTAGCAGTTTTGGAATCCATTTAGAATTATGCATTAATGTGCAGGAATCATTGTGCCGTTGCAATTGCCAATTACACATTCAATTCAAACGTTTTGTAAAATGCAATTAGCGTTCTGTAATACTAATTGGAATCATTTGTTCTTGTTGCTGGTTGCTGGTTGCTGTTGTTGTTGCTGCAACATGCAACATCATGCGCATTTAAGTTCCGACTAATTGGATTACTTTGAGTTCAGGCATTATGAAATGCGTGGGCGAGACGGTACGTCTGATGTCAAAAATGTCAAAATTTCGGAATTTAGATTTTTTTTAGCATTAAATGGAGGAATATGTCTTTTGGAATTTTATGAATTTTTGGCATTACGAGAAAGTATATTTTGAATGCTTGAGAATTTTTGTTCTTTGTTATTTTGATTTTAAAGTATTTTTATGGAAAGTTTTTCTGTTTAAAAAAAAATGTGTTTATTAAGAGATTTAAAAATCCACATAAATTGCTTTAAACTTTAAAATATTTTCAATTATACATACATACATGTATGTATTCCTATAACTTTTTCCATATTTTAGTAAAATATAAAATAAAAAAAAAATGTTGCCATTCAGTTATGGCACGAGTAGAAACCATTTTGTAAAACTTTATTAGCCTCCAATAAACCATTAAAACTATAGAACTTTTAACATTTTTACTGTTAAGCTAAACTTCTGGACTAACAAAAATATTCGTACGTACATACGAATTCCGATGGCAACAAAAACTAAAAGAGAGAGACAGAGAGACAGAGAGCAAAACGAGAGAAAAAGAAAACGAGCAAATTTGTGTAATAAGCATCCAATTAAAACTTTTTCACACAATGCAACTCCAAACCCAAAAGCAACAAAAAGTCAACGGACGAACAATGAATGCAGCGTGTCTAACAGGGGAGTGGGAAAGAGACAGACATATACAATGGCTCGCTAGCGGGGGGAGTTGGTGAGTGGGGGAGAGAGAGAGAGCGCTGCCCTCGACTGTCGCCTATTTAACGAGCTGCAAAAATGTGAGCCGCTTGCATGGAAGGGGGCTGGGGAAGGAGGGCAAGGCTGGGCAGGCAGGCAGGCAGAACCGTTAGTATTTATTATTCTATAAAGGGATGAGGGAGAGGGAGTGAGTGTGAGGTAGGGGTAGGGGCTGATGAGCGAGCGGTGGGGCATAAAGGATTTCCGCTTCGTTGACTGAAATATGAGCAGATTTTTGACAATGTTATACTTTGCTGTAAGTACAGGCAGCGGCAAACAGACATGCAGAAAGCAAAGTGAGAGAGGAGAATGCGACTAGACGGATACCCATTATGCCAGCAAAACACTCAAAGAAGGGTGCCTATTCTTTATAGAAGATGTTGCTTAAACCTGTAACATTCACACACAATAAACCCTTTGTAAACATCTTAGATTACAGGGTATACACATAAACAGCTGTAACAACAATTCATTAATTCTGCGAATAGGGCTTTATATTTCTTTCTAGACACTAAACTCAATCATCATCATCATCAGCAGCAGAAGCAGCAGCATCATCACGATAATGACAATGATGACAGTGATAATTACAATCATCATTGCTATTGCTATTGTCTTCCCGCCGCCCCCCTCAACCGCCCTCGCTCTATATATAGATCAAGTTGTGTGACAATGTGAGAGGCGTGTTCGGGTTTCGCAATTGCAAAATGTTTCGGTTTATGGTTTCAGTTCCTGCGCTTCTGCGCCACTCGTTTCATTCTTAAACTTCTTTTCGTTTCGTTATTCTCCCTCCGCCCCCCCACTCACTCTCTCGCGCTCTTTTTCTATGTGGGGGGAGCTGTGATAAAAATAAATAATCAGAGAAGAGGCGACACGATGGAGAACTGACAGAAGCAGAAACTGAAAGATGAAGAAGTTATTTTTTTATTTTTTTTGCACACTCTAAATGATATTATTTCTTGTTGTTGTTTCGTCTCGTTTTTTTGGTGGATTTCGACACACACACACACACACACACTGGCAAACAATACATCACTTGAACATTGTTTTGCACTTGTCTTACCCCCTCCTCCCACAAAACCATCACATCACTGACATATTTTCCAGTTTGCTCACGTATTAATTGCTCAAGTGGAAGCGACAAGCAAAGCGGATAAAAAAAACAACCACCCCACCCCCCCGCACTATTGACCGAAACATGTTTCTGATGTTTGCCAGCACTTGAACTAAAGAAATACTTAAACATATCAAACATACACATACATATGTACATATGTACATTAGGCTGGGCCAAAATTTGACCAAAAAATTTTTTTTTTTTTCAAAGGGACACCTCCCAATTCTGTTCTTTGTTATTTAATAAAATTATAAAATTTTTTCAAATTTTTATTTTAATGTTTGGGGGTTGCTACCACGAAAAGAAAATACAAAATTTTTGGTTAAATATACATTACAAAAAATTGATTTCGTCGGTTTTTTCAAATAATATTGAAACTTAGAAACTAGTTCATATTGCTAATAAGGTGTTTTTATTTTATTTTTATAGTTACTGTTAAAAAATTAATAATTGGTGAAAATCAGGAAGTTCAGCTGAGGTTGATATATTTAGTTAACTATTTCGCAAAAGCTTTTGCAGGTTTATTACTGCCAATAATGAAGATATGAATGGTATTAATATATGTATATGCAATAGATTTTTTAATTTTCTTGATTACAATTTTTTGTAAAATTCGGTAGCAACCTCTAAAAAATAAAAAATAAACATAAAATAATATCATGTAAATTACTATTAAATCCAAGGTAACAAAATTAGGGAGTGTCCCGTTTCAATTTGGAAAAAAAAATTGTTTGGCCCAGTCTAATGTACATGTACATATAGGATATATGTACATACATATGTCTGCAATATGGGGGGATATCCTTCTTAATGGTCATTCTTTTCTCTTTTGATTTATGAAGGGTTTTGCTGTCTTTGATTAATTAGCAGCTCCTTAGGAGAGAGAGACAGAGAGGGCAAGCAGACAGAAAGAGAGAGAGAGTGGGGGCATGGCATGGCAAATCGGGTTAAATTAATGACACCCTGGTATCTGAAGTGTTAAAGTAATTTAATTAGTTGAGGTGTCCAGTGGGAAGGGAACGGAAGAAAGTTGATGAAACTTCACTTAAATTAAGGGTTTGCTTTGAGGGGGAGCGGAAGTGGAGATTCAAGTTTTGTGTGTTTGTCATGGAGTAGTTTTTGGGAAATAGTTTTTTGATTAAATGGCGTGCCGAAAGGTTTGTCGTTGGTGGAGATGGTTGCCTAAGCGAATGAATTGTTGAGCCATATAAACCAGAAAGATATCCTCTTAACAGAGATGATTCAAGGGAGTAATTGAGTATAAATTTATCGAGCATTAAAAGGAAAAATTATACAAACATTTATAATCATGCCACATGCTGCCCAATCATTTGCCAGCCTTCTTTCTGGCAACTTCTTCACATAATTCCACTTATTTCGCTTGAATTTTTAATCATCTTTATTTTCTTTGAATATCCCAGCTGTTATCCTCTTTTGGGCGTCCTTCTATTCGCACAAAATTCTATTTTCAGACTGATAAATCAGATTAGCTTTTTCCCCCCTTCCATCAAACGGAGACCTCCCATACGGAGGATTTCTTTCAATGAGCTTTCAGCACCCATCCCCCAACTTTTCCTTTCTCTCTCACATTTCGAGTGTATGCTTTGTGTGTGTGTGTGTGTGTGTGTGTGTGCTGAGGATGGGATTCCTCTTGCAATTTCCATCAATGCAGACATCTGAGACATGAACTGCATATCAAACACGCACAGAAAGAAGTCTATCTGTATATTTCTGGGTGTGTACTTGTACATATATTTAAATCCAAGGCACTTCATGAATGCCGATTGCAATATACCCGGAGTCTACTGCGAGTCCGAGTCTCGAGTCCACTGAAAAATGCTTCACGGAAGTCGTAAATCGTCTCGAAGAGATCGAAGCTGACCAAAAGAAGTGAAGTACTCATGAAGGGGGTGGGGGGAAGAGGGAGTGCTGCCACTGCTGCCACTGCTGCTTCTGTTTGGTGCAAATGTCAATAGTGTGAAGTGAGTGCTATTTATATGGAAATATCAAACGATTCCCCAGATAGATATGTGCGCGTATATTGCCTTTGTATTTATAGAACCGAAAGCATTAAGGGGGCCTCGGCCCATAGAAATGAAAGTGAATCTTGTATCTGTTTATGGTTCAATAGCTTTTGCCACTCATCTCTCTCTCTCTCTCTCTTGACTTTCATCTTGACCGCCATGAGCAATCAACAGCTGTCAGTCTGACAAACAATTCATCATGGAAAAAATGTGCAGCCAACTATGGCAGCGACCCATTAGAGTGGGGCGGCATCTGCATCTCCACTTAAGACAGCTAACAAAATACCACACATTCGTAAGATACTCGCATGTACATGGAGAGAGTGCGAGGAGTGGGGTCTAGGGTGTGGAGAAACTGTTACAAAAATGTGTTTGCATATTTAGCATAAGACTGCTCCGCTCCTCAAGTGGCTGATAACAATATGGAAAACAAGGGCACTACAAAATAAGAGAGAGAGAAAAATGACTGAGAGAGACAGACAGAGATTCGATTCGATACAAAATGAAATTCCAAATGCACAAAATTGAATTTCTACTCCATCCGTATTGCTACTGCTTCTACTGCTCCTGTTCCTGTTCCTATTTCTCTTTTCTTTTGTCATTTCTACTTTTAAGATTTGTTTATGTTAAAGTAATACCCCAGACTTGTTTGTGATTACGTTGAACATATGTTGACAAAAATCCAGTGAGTGAAAGAGGGAGAGGGAATGATATGTAGAGTGGCGAGCTGCAGAGAGGCAACTGGAGTGGAATGGCAAGCAGTCCATTGGAGAGGAAAGGAAAAATCCCCCGAACATGGACCAACAGCAAAATGCAATTGAGACCAAACGGAAGCATGCCACCAGCTTCTGGTCTCTGTTATTCTTTCTCTGTCTCCTTGTCTCCCTTCTCCCTCTCCCTCTCACTATTTTTATACCCGTACTCAAAAAAGAGTTAAGGGGTATATTAGATATGAGGTAAAAGTGGATGTGTGTAACGCAGAGAAGGAAACGTTTTCGACCCCATAAAGTATATATATTCTTGATCAGCATCAATAGCCGAGTCGATATAGCCATGTCTGTCCGTCTGTCTGTCTGTCTGTCTTGTTGAGCGCCTAGATCTCAGAGACTATAAGAGCTGAGGCAACCAAATTTGGTTTCCAGACTCATGTGATATCACACTGCTACAAGTGTATTTCAAAATTTCTCCCCGCTCCCTTCCGCCCCCACAAAGAACGAAAATCTGTGGCAGGCACAATTTTAAAGATACGATAAAACTAAAAGCGCAGTATCGTAGAGAATGCCCATATCTACCAGATTGCCGAATCTGAATCAGATCGGATCCTAATTATAGCCAGAATGAAGAAATTAATTTTCAGTTGCTTCCCCTGCCCCCTCCTGCTAACGACCACACAACTCATTTTTCTTTTCGCTCGCACACTCTGCCGCGTTCAGTGCGCGAGCAACCCCTAGCGGAGGAGATGTAGAATCTAAATGGTACATGTAGAATATACATGTTAGATGTAGAATATGCATAGTATATGTAGATTTAGATAACAGATGTAGCAAAAAAATTTAAAATGTCAAATTTTTTTTTTGTAATTCTAAAATTCTAACAAATCATATGCTCAAAAATGTATATACTGACTGAGTACGGGTATAAGTAGAGTCGCGTCCCCAGAAGCGACTCGCACGTTCCTTTTCGTTTTTCTTTGCTTTCTGCTTTGATTCAAGCAACTGTAGCATGCATATATACAGAGTCATATACATAGTTATGCATATGGGACATATCGTTTATGGTTAGTATAAGGTACTCTGTAAGTTCTGCTTGTGGTTGTGCTCTCTTTTTGCAGATACGAGTATTTCTGTGGATTTGTGGATCTTTGTCAGAGAACATTGATGTTTTGTTAGGGGGTACATGTGTGCCTGTTAGCACAGGCTAAATATGCATTTTGTGGTTCTTCTTTTGGTCGATTTCTGCTAAGAACAATAGTAGTTAATTGTGCTTCAGAGGATTCCACATGTTCCTGGTATTCATGAGGTACCTGCACAGAAGTGTGGGTCCTACAGAAAGGGTGCTGGAGACGCCTGCTCTTTCGGGCAGAAACTGCAGCTGTTATTCTATAATTTATGCAGGCTTTAGATGATTTTTGAACACAAATGATCATCCTGATGAATGTTTTTATTCACCCTGAGACGATTTCGAATTCATTTCCAAAATTCATAAGTTTTAGAGGTGTATCCGTATACTCACCGTATACTCATTCCAAAGACTTCTTAGCAAGCGATTTAATATTCAGAGTTAATTTTTTAACTAAATGTGAGACATTCATTGTCATAGTTACATAGTTTCTTCCATATTTTAAGATGCAGTGTAGATTTTTAATAAAAAAAATTATTATCATGAACATATTGAGACATAATATAATAATAATAATAATAATAAGTAATAACTTTGTATACCTTTCCATTATTTCTTGTCAGAATCTTTATAGAATTTATAGGGATTCCTTTATTAATTTTCTGCTGACTAAATGATAATCACTTCCTTTGTTTCTTTCGTATCATACAGCCACAAAACCATGTTCAGATCTGTTTGTGGGTGAACTTTTTCTTTCATACAATAATACATTTTTGTTATCACGCAATCGGACCCTTGAAGGCCAAACAGAATGCTGCGATGGTTGTGGGCAGATTATTAGCTATAAATACTTAAAATATCACAAAGAGTCAAAGCAATTAATGAGCTCTTTTTCCATCGATTCTCTTCGAGTGCTTCAACGAACTCGTCGATAAAATTGTGTAAAATCATTATAAACTATGCAAAAACACTCAATTGGGGGCAAAAAAACAAATGGTTTTTCTACTTGGTAATTACTTGGATCCATTCCAGAAGCCCCCTTCCTGCGCTGACCTGCGCTGACCATCGCCTGCCAAGTACTTTTTTGCTGTACTCTGGTGTGGCACTTACGAGTCGCTGCGCCTGCCGCTGCAGCTGCAGCTGCACTTCAACACTTCCCTACCCACCACAGGGGCATGCAAATAATAAAGAAACCGAAGAAATGCTCGATGCAGGAACGAGGGAAAAACAAACAAACATAAAGAACAATTACAGAGAAGCTTATCGGCCAATTAAAGGCAAAGCCGCGCGCTCGCTCCACGGTAGCCGCTGCCGCCAATGGGCAATGGAAAATGCAAATGCAAAAATGCTGGAAATGCAAACAATTTTACCTCATTTTGCGGATCAAAATTGCCAAAGTTCTACCTCATTTTGGTACAACAAATTGCACAGCTGCCGCAGTTCTGTTCATAGCATTTTTCAGTACATTCTTCTGTGCTTATGTGCCTCAGAGTTCTGTTCTAATTGTTGCACAAAATGCATTGGGGCATGCAGCAGCAGCAGCGTCATCACAGGCAATAATTGTTGCAGTTTTTTTTCTGTATGCAATTTAACGCACAATCTTTCAATTGTTCGGCGACAATTTGCTGCCTTGTGGCATAATTTATGCAACATTTGTGGATCCAAAGAGAGAGAGAGAGAGAGAGCAAGAGAGGAACCCAGCCCGGAGATGTGAAGTCTGACAGGCCTGCTGACAATTTGAATTAAGTGTAGTTAATGTTGACAAACGTCCCATCCATCCAGCCATGGGAGAACAATGTTTCCCAGAGTTCATTGGGGACACAACACAACACCCCCTACTACCCACCCTTATGGCAGCCTCCCCCACCCCATCCCCTCTAAGCGTATAACATGGGGCGGGGATCCGCATTCTGTGTGGAGTGGCGGCATTAGGCCGTCAAACATGATTGATGGGATTGTGGCCTGGCATGGACTGCGGCGAGCACGAGATTAAGATAATCGACATTTGTATGATATAATTTCCACATGTTGGAATCCATCCGCACATTTGTGGCAGCAGATCTGTGTGATCTGCGGGTTAAGTGGCTATGGAGAAATATTAATAAAGTCAGTAAAAGAGTGCGGCGGAAATGGTTGAACTAACTAGATCTAGCGGATGGAACCTGTAAGTTTTTGGGAAAATGTTTTTGGAAAATCAACTAAAAGATTTATTGATTCTGTGACGAGTTGATTCTCAAATTTAAGTTCCACCGGCAGCACTGAGATTTTTTTAGTGTAAAAATATATATATATAATGATGGAAACGGTGTGTATGCATTCAGCATTTAATTTCAGGGTTCAACACCTTTTTAAATGCTTCAATTACTTCCATTTCATTTCCGATTTACTTCAACTTAATTAAGTTAGAAAAAAAGCATAAACTTTAGCCATATTTCCACATTTTAAAACATTCAAGAAAAAGCAAAACGATAAGCAGGAAGCAGGAATACACCATGAAGGCCCCAATGCTGTGCATGATAATGATCCTCATTTTATTGGAAGGATTTGCACGACGTAAGCACAAGCAGCAAAGAACGGGCGAAATCAGCGCCATAATCTGTGGCGAGAATGAGTCTTATGGCTGTAAGGTGTGCTTTGAGCCATCTTGCAATCAACTGCTCTACGATCACGAACCATGTCCACCGGGTTGTGTTAAGACCTGCAACTGTAATATTGGTTTTGTACGCAGGAAGGACAAGTGCGTGCTCAAGGAGCAATGCTGTGTGGGCGATATATGTAAGACGAAGAAAGAGCTGGCCGTGAGAGAGGCCCAGGAGCAAGGTGTTACCCCCGATCCAAAACGCTGGGCTCGGCCAGAATTTGAGATGGAATTGGAACATATGGAAAATATTGTGAACGCTGTACCGGAGGATAAAGGAACAACCAGTAACCTTTTTGATAAGGTCGCAGGTATTGGGTAGCGATTGGGCTAAGCCAGAAAATGAGACGGATGTTGAAGTTAAAGCAAATCCACCTGAATAAATAGTAATCGATATGTCCTTCCAGACTCGACATCTATTTCGAATTGTTTCCTACGTATGTATGTCCGAGGCATACATAATTTTACCCAAAAAAAAAAACCCCCTCTGTCTACATTTTACCTTTTCTTGAACATAAAACTTATTTTCAACGACTGAAACACTAAACGCAATTTTCTGGCACAGTAACAGGGGTGAGAGAAGAGTACTCTATAGAGGAATGAATGGATGGTAGGGATGGAGGTATGCTGTGTGTGTTTGTAATCCCAAATGAGGCGCTTTATGGGAACACAAGGCAGTATAGAAATGGCTTCAATTAGTTCCATTTCATTTCCGATTTACTTCAACTTAATTAAGTTAGAAAAAAAGCATAAACTTTAGCCATATTTCCACATTTTAAAACATTCAAGAAAAAGCAAAACGAGAAGCAGGAAGCAGGATTACACCATGAAGGCCCCAATGCTGTGCATGATAATGATCCTCATTTTATTGGAAGGATCTGCAGAACGTAAGCACAAGCAGCAAAGAACGGGCGAAGCCAGCGCCATAATCTGTGGCCAGAATGAGTTTTATGGCTGTAAGGTGTGCTTTGAGCCATCGTGCCATCAACTGCTCTACGATCACGAACCATGTCCACTGAGTTGTGTTAAGACCTGCAACTGTAATATTGGTTTCGTACGCATGAAGGACCAGTGCGTGCTCAAGGATCAATGCTGTGTGGGCAATATATGTAAGACGAAGAAAGAGCTGGCCGTGAGAGAGGCCCAGGAGCAAGGTGTTGCCCCCGATCCAAAACGCTGGGCGTCTTGGCCAGAATTTGAGATGAAATTTGAACCTATGGAAAATATTGTGAAAGTGTACCGGAGGAAAAAGGAATAATCAGAAACCTTTTTGATAAGGTCGCAGGTATTGTAGGTATCGCAGGCCAGAAAATGAGATGGATGTTGAAATTAAAGCAAATCCACCTGAATAAATATTAATCGATATGTCCTTCTAGACTCGACACCTATTTCGAATTGTTTCCTACGTATGTATGTCCGAGGCATACATAATTTTACCCAAAAAAAAAAACCCCCTCTGTCTACATTTTACCTTTTCTTGAACATAAAACTTATTTTCAACGACTGAAACACTAAACGCAATTTTCAGGCACAGTAACAGGGGTGAGAGAGAGGAATGAATGGATGGTAGGGATGGAGGTATGCTGTGTGTGTTTGTAATCCCAAATGAGGCGAAAACTCAACTTGGGGGGCAAGAAGCCGAGTCGCTTTATGGGAACACAAGGCAGAATAAAAATGGCTTCAATTAGTTCCACTTCATTTCCGATTTACTTCAACTTAATTAAGTTAGAAAAAAAGCATAAACTTTAGCCATATTTCCACATTTTAAAACATTCAAGAAAAAGCAAAACGAGAAGCAGGAAGCAGGATTACACCATGAAGGCCCCAATGCTGTGCATGATAATGATCCTCATTTTATTGGAAGGATTTGCACGACATAAACACAAGCATCAAAGAACGGACGAAATCAGCGCCATAATCTGTGACAAGAATGAGTTTTATGGCTGTAAGGTGTGCTTTGAGCCAACGTGCTATGTACTGCTCTACGATAACCATCCATGTCCACCGGGTTGTGTTAGGACCTGCAACTGTAATATTGGTTTCGTACGCCATAAAGCCAAGTGCGTGCCCAAGACGGAATGCTTGTTGGGCGATATATGTGCGACGAAGAAAGAGATTGCCGTGAGAGAGGCCCAGGAGCAAGGTGTTTCCCCGGATCCAAGACGCTGGGCGTCTCGGCCAGAATTTGAGACGACTCGGCCAGATTTTGAGACGGCTCAGCCAAAAAAAGAGACGGCTCGGCCAAAAAAAGAGACGGCTCGGCCAACAAAAGAGACGGCTCGGCCAACAAAAGAGACAACTCGGGCAACAAAAGCGACGACTCGGACAACAAAAGCGACGACTCGGACAACAAAAGCGACGACTCGGACAACAAAAGCGACGACTCGGACAACAAAAGCGACGACTCGGACAACAAAAGCGACGACTCGGACAACAAAAGCGACGACTCGGACAACAAAAGCGACGACTCGGACAACAAAAGCGACGACTCGGACAACAAAAACGACGACTCGGCCAACAAGAGCGACGACTCGGCAAACAAGATCGACGACTTTGTCAGAACTTCAAAAACTTCAGTCGGAAAATGATTGGAAACGTACTATTCCTATACCGGAGTGGCAAATCATTTTTAATAGGGTCCATGGTATTTACCCAGGCAAATACATACTTCAACATCAAAATAAGTTTGGGCGATAGCGATATATGTAAGACGAAGAAAGAGCTGGCCGTGAGAGAGGCCCAGGAGCAAGGTGTTACCCCCGATCCAAAACGCTGGGCTCGGCCAGAATTTGATATGGAATTGGAACAAATGGAAAATATTGTGAACGCTGTTGTAGCATATCTACCCTACCATTTTAATAAATCAAAGGGTATAACAATCCGTTAATACATTGTGACACTTTGTCATAATGAATACAAATATACAAATGCCCGAAGACCACTAAGAATTACATAAACATTCCAGCGCACAAGCAATACGATCCATCGCTTATATTCAAGCCGATCGCGGAGCGTTGGAATGCTGAGCATGCACTTTGCAGCTCAACCCATACACGACATATGCATGCCTTCTGCATACATATGTATATACATATATATAAACACATAGATATAAGCATTGCATGTTTTCGGGTTAGCTGGACCCAAGATCAGTAAGTAAGATTCATTCGGAATAAAGTAACAGAACGGAGCAGACGCTCCTAGGAAAAGATTAATAATAAAGTTATTAAGGAAGAACCTTACACTGTACCGGAGGATAAAGGAATAATCAGAAAGCTTTTTGATAAGGTCGCAGGTATTGCAGGTATCGCAGGCCAGAAAATGAGATGGATGTCGAAGTTAAAGCAAATCCACCTGAATAAATATTAATCGATATGTCCTTCTAGACTCGACACCTATTTCGAATTGTTTCCTACGTATGTATGTCCGAGGCATACATAATTTTACCCAAAAAAAAACCCCCTCTTTCTACATTTTACCTTTTCTTGAAAATAAAACTAATTTTCAACGACTGAAACATTAAACGCAATTTTCAGGCACAGTATCAGGGGTGAGAGAAGAGTACTCTATAGAGGAATGAATGGATGGTAGGGATGGAGGTATGCTGTGTGTGTTTGTAATCCCAAATGAGGCGAAAACTCAATTTGGGGGGCAAGAAGCCGAGTCGCTTTATGGGAACACAAGGCAGTATAAAAATGGCTTCAATTAGTTCCATTTCATTTCCGATTTACTTCAACTTAATTAAGTTAAAAAAAAAGCATAAACTTTAGCCATATTTCCACATTTTAAAACATTCAAGAAAAAGCAAAACGAGAAGCAGGAAGCAGGATTACACCATGAAGGCCCCAATGCTGTGCATGACAATGATCCTCATTTTATTGGAAGGATCTGCACGACGTAAGCACAAGCAGCAAAGAACGGGCGAAATCAGCGCAAATCAGACCTGAAATGTGTTAATAGATATTAGGGGTTCTGCTGCTGTTTCGGAGGACCGGAAATCACAACGTGACTTAAATTTAAAACTACTTATTTTTTTCTTCGAGAGAATATTAACCTTTGGTGTATTTTTCTTTTTTTGTCAAATCAAAGTTGTTAATTTTATTGAATATTTCCTACGTATGTTTGCCCAAGGCATACATAATTTTACCCAAAAAAAATATACAGAAAAGGGAACCATAGGAGGCGCCACAGTACTTGAATGCCGAATGTGCCTCTCATGAATGTCGAATGTGAATGCGACTTTTATTCAATTGAAATAAGGTGCCACCTAAATGGAGTTACACTTTAAAGAATCAAGCCTTTTTTATACCCGTACTCAAAAAAGAGTTAAGGGGTATATTAGATTTGTGTTAAAGTGGATGTGTGTAACGCAGAGAAGGAAACGTTTCCGACCCCATAAAGTATATATATTCTTGATCAGCATAAATAGCCGAGTCGATATAGCCATGTCTGTCTGTCCGTCTGTCCGTCTGACCGTCTGTCCGTCTTGTTTGACGGCTGGATCTCAGAGACTATAAAAGCTAGAGGAACCAAATTTTGTTTCCAGACTCATGTGATATCACACTGCTACAAGTGTATTTCAAAATTTCGCCCCGCTCCCTTCCGCCCCCATTAAGAACGAAAATCTGTGGCAGGCACAATTTTAAAGATACGATAAAACTAAAAACGCAGTATCGTAGAGAACGCCCATATCTACCAGATTGCCGAATCTGAATCAGATCGGATCATAATTATAGCCAGAATGAAGAGATTAATTTTCAGTTGCTTCCCCTGCCCCCTCCAGCAAACGATATCACAACTCATTTTCCTTCTCGCTCGCACACTCTGCCGCGTTCAGTGCGCGAGCAACCCTTAGCGGAGGAGATCTAGAATATAAATGGTACATGTACAATCTACATGTTAGATGTATAATATACATTGTAGATGAGATGTAGATGTTGATAACAGATGTAGCAAAAAAATGTAAAATGTAAAATTTTTTTTTGTAATTCTAAAATTCTAAAAAATTTGTTGCTCAAAAATGTATATGCTGACTGAGTACGGGTATAAGTAGAGTTGCGTCCCCAGAGGCGATTCACACGTTCCTTCTCGTTTCTATCTATTTTGGTGTGGCTTTTGCCTATTTTTGTAGTTAAACTGAAAAGTGCATTGACATTGGCTGCTAAATTCATTGGCGGACCGGACCATTGGATGCCAATTTTAATTCTTTCTTTTTTTTTCGCTGGGGTTCTTTTTGCTGCATCTTTCTTTCGTCTTTTTTTGTTGTTGTTCCTGAACCCGCATTCGTTGAGGCTCTCAAGTGACGACAAACGACTGAATACTGAATGCCAAATGCCAGGCCACAGTCATGCCACAGTCAGAGTCAGGAGTCCGGAGTACGGAGTCAGAGATCCAGACCCAGGCCCCGTGGAGTCATCGTCACTCTTCGTTCCACTAAACTGCCTCAAATGTCGCGTGACGCATAGCAAATGTTTTAATCTCTTGGTGCCCCTCATTTCAATACTCTTTCAAGTGAAACGCAATGTTCGGAAAAAGAGTAGGAGAATTCTTGGGAAAAGAGCATTTCATTCATCTATTTTTACCGTAGCTGAACTAATGGTAGATATTTGATATTTGTGAGGAAACAGGATGGTATTAAAAATGATCTAAGATATGTCTCAGAGTTGCAAATTCCGCTAAATATCACATAGAATTTTACTATAATACTATCTTTAAAATATTAGCAAAATATACTCCAAGCATTATCTAAATATACTTTAGAAATCTAAATTTCTCGACTAAAAATTCCGTCTAAATATATATAAAATAAATCTTTAGTTTGGCATTATTTTAAGCATATTAAATACAAAATATACCATTAATTCTTCTGTTATTTGTACCTTTTTGCTATTTGTACCTTTTTGTTATTTGTACCTTTTTGTTATTTGTATCATCTGTACCTAAAAACAGTGAAGTAACAAATTGCTGTATAAATTATATTATTTCTTTGCCCTTTGTTTACTTTATAAAGTGATTTCCGGTTTCTTACCCTTCCAAAACACCTGTAAAGCAAATGTACATGTGTGTTTCCCAACAATTGTATCTACAGTTCCAAAGTGTATCTAAAGTTCGTTGCTCTTTTAGCTATCTCTCTCTCTCTTTCATTTTTTTTTTGTTGCATATATTTTACATATTTTTTGCGACTGTCTGTCCCTTCTGCGGGTTCTTGACGCCTCGTTGGCCGCCCATTTGTCCAGTTTTCGTTGCCGTTTCGTTCGTTGTCTGTTCTGCATTTCCCGTTTCCCCCGCCTCACCCCTCCCCGCGACCGACACGCATTTAAGCACAGTCTGAATCGCATTCATATTCATGTGACAATTTGCATGAGATACAATGAGGAGGGGACCCATAATAGAAGTTGCCATAGAAACGGCCATTTCTTTTAATTTATGTCACCATTTAAATGGCAAACATAACAAAAAGAAGAGACAACTGAAGGCTGGAATGGCAATTGAGAAGGAGTTCTATCTTCTCAATAAATGTATTCTTCTTAGATAAAGAAACCAAAGAATTCTATTCATAAAAGTTCATAAGGTGGCAGTGTTTTTCCTGTTACTATTTTTGCATTGGAAAATCCACACTCCTGCAAGACACGTGAGGCCTAGGAAAAAGGCCATTTACCCGTAACTTTTCTAATAGCTAAAAACTTTCTTAAAATTGTATCATGCTTGCAAAATGTTACCACCTTTGGGGGGTCCAAAAGATCGCCTATCAAAAAGCCCACACGTGTCACAGTCAGCCGAGAACAATTCAATTAACCCATGCCAACGCAGTCAAGTGGTAATTTGCTTAGACGACAGACCCGTACCCCCTATGGCTGAGGAACATTGCGCCCTCTGTCTACATTTTACCTTTTCTTGAACATAAAACTAATTTTCAACGACTGAAACATTAAACGCAATTTTCAGGCACAGTATCAGGGGTGAGAGAAGAGTACTCTATAGAGGAATGAATGGATGGTAGGGATGGAGGTATGCTGTGTGTGTTTGTAATCCCAAATGAGGCGAAAACTCAATTTGGGGGGCAAGAAGCCGAGTCGCTTTATGGGAACACAAGGCAGTATAGAAATGGCCCACCTTTCCCGAATCTTATCAATATTCATAACTTTTTGTTGCATGCAAAATTACTTGTCGTATCGTTTGTATCTCTTTGAGAGTTGTTGCGGCCGTTAAACAGATTTATGCTTTAAGTTTATCTGCCCAAGACTCCTCGACGATTGATAAAATTTAACACAAATTGACTTGAAGGTCTTCATTGGGGCGAAAAGCACATCCTTTAATTAAACGCCACGCCCCAAAAACTTCAATCTGTGTGTGTGTGCCACACGCGCCACACAGTATCGTAGAAAACATTGAATCAGCATAAAATCTACATTATGAAAAGCTTTTGGGCTGGGCTTTCCACGCTTCGACTACGAAAATTTTATTAAAATTACTCTGCAAAAACCCTGCTCTTTCTGCTACAGCCTGGATCGTGGCGCTGCCAGGACGCTTGCTTTGCCTACCTGAAACGGTGATAAAATTAATAGCCTACGCCTGGTTTACGACAGCCGTTGCCGCCGCCAACGCACAAAAAAAATAGAAAATTGCCTCGAAAAATTGTTCAAAAAGCTTTTTCCGGGTGGCGGGAGTGGTGTGGATAATTTTTAGTCCTTTAGTCTCCTGTGCCTTTGATTGTCCTCACGAAGCTTCATTTCATGGCATGGCAGACACGAAAATATTCAAAGTAATTTCCAAGCTAAAATATGTCCCACGGATAGCCCCACAATGGATTGGAGTGAAGCATAGACCATGGACTATGGCATGTGGCTAATTTAGTTGGCAACGAAAAAATGCTAACTGCTGTTGGCTCCATAGAATAGAATGCCTCGAACAGATTGTATCAATTTGGGAGGAAAGCTGGGGCAAGTTTTGGGGTTGTTTTAAGGGGCTGGAAATTGTATGATGCTCATGAAAATGCCTGAAAATTAAAGAGCATAAGAAAAATACTTGTATTTGGAAAATAATATCGTACACGCTTTTGCAAAAACAAAATTCCATTTGCGTCATTTCTTGTTTCAGTAATTTTTCATTTGGAAATTCAATTGAGGCCGAAACAGTGAATTGTTGTACATATTTTTCGTGAATTTTTCTGAATCTGCCACAAATATAAATACGATTAAATAAATAACCATTAAAAATATAAATATTTTAAATTTAAATAAAAAAAAAAAAATATATATATATATATATATCACCTTTTGAGTACAGGCTGGCAATAAACAACCGTTTAAATTTTAGCATACAGATTTTCCCCAATTTTAAATACCCCTAAAAAAATCAACTACAAGCCACAAGAAAATTCCACAC